GGTCTTGCAAAGTAAAAAGTACCTTATTCTGGCAACCAAATTATGCCAAGAGTTTTTGTCAGTTCACTGAAACCAAAATGAAATTTCCCTTTAACCCTTTAACTGCCGCAGAAAGCATACAAGATTCACTCCACAATGCCACCGTTTTTTACACAGGTGCGTGTGGTTATGCAGTAGGTAAGGGGGAGGAATAAATGCAAGTTTTGCTGTCTAAAAACTGTTTTTTTTTTTTCACAAAATAAAGAATAAAAGGAAAAATTAAAATACAAAATTCAATGTTTAGATTAAAAGTATAATGAAAATTATGTTTGTATAATAAAAAAAAATCCCCCAAAATGGAGTTTTGATCAATTTATTTTTAGACCAGTAAAGTATTTGTAATATCAGGTTTCAGTGTTATACCTTGTAAAATCAGTATACCTAAATGGAAAGCGTTGAGGCAGCATAGGCAAGTTTTTTTTATATCAAGTCGTATCCAACGTCAAGCATCTTTCGGAGAATAGTTGTAATCCTCTTCATCTGACGTAATATTACATTCTGAGGTGTCCGAAGATGATGGAAAGTAATAATCTATTTCACTGTCATACATATTCGTAGAAAAACCACCTACTATGAACAGTAAACAAAAATGGAAGACACAGAATTAAAAAAAGTGTATTTACCCAAACAGAAACACAAGCAGTAACTGTGCAGTCATTAGTCGTCACCGTCAGACATATTCGTAAAAAAAGCACCTACTACAAACAGTAGATGAAAACGGAAGACACAGAATAAAAACAATACGTTTTACTTAAACAAAAACACAACCAATAATCGTGCAGTTGTTAGTTTCACAGTTTCAGAAACATCCCTTCTTCTCTGAAATAGTATCTTCCTTTGCATACTCTGTCAAGATTATTGTGGTGTTACATTCCAAAGCTTTGCGAATGATTTTACTGGCGGCAGCACAAAGCAAGTGATAGCATTTTGGAAGGGTGTATATATATATACACATACATACGCTCGGGGCAGTTAATATATCTGCTGAGCAAGGCATGCCCGTGGCCTTTAAGGGGTTGACTTAAGAGTTCCTGTATCATGTCTGCAGTTAGTGCTGTTTTACATTTTTGAAATGGGACAATTAAAAATATCTTCTTCAACCTCTCAGACAAAAGCTCAGATTAGTAGGGGCTGACATTTTTTTAAAAAATGCACATTTTTATCTCCGACTTTTCTGAGTTGTAAATTTCATGATGAGAAAGATAAAAAGTAACAGGTGAAGGATTTTCTTCCATGTGATTTAAGCTTTCATAATCATTGATAAAAATCTGTATAAAGTTTTTTATGTTTGAGTCTCTGTTTAACCTGTAAATTGTTTCATTAAGATGTTTGTTAGCTTTGTTTTTCAAATAATCTAATTGACGAAGTACTTCTTGAAATGGCATTTATACTATAAAGCATTTACTCTTATCCCTCCTATGTGTTTTCTGATAGTGCAATTTATAAAGTTCTTCATCTGGGCTTTGGAGAGGTTCGTTGGCTGCTTTAGTGTTCAGAAATTTACTAATGCATGCTTCTAAGCTTTTAGACTGGGATATTAATTCTCAATATTATTTTGAACTTGGAAGAAGAAATTTCATATCTTATGCATTTTCACTAATTTGAAACAGCACCCAGTATTATGTTGATATTTCCTGGCTTGTCAAAATCTGGGTCTGTTAAATATATACACTCAGGCAATTTAAAATTATCTACATTTTTAATAAAACTTTATAACTTTTAATAGCTGGAACAAAGTCTGCTCTGGCTGATAAGGGTCCTTGTCTTAAATTTAATATTTGTCACATTTCCAGCAAGCCACTAACTGGCATCTTAACAGCCATTTTTTTGGAGAGGGTCCACATCCCAAACTATGGCAGCTGCCAAAAGAAGTTTTATTTTTATACTCATTTCGATGTGAAAACTTATGTGGTTATGAAATCATCCTTTAATTTTCTTTAAATCTGCTGGAATTTCATGCACCAAAAATATTGTTGGGTCATGATGATGACTAATAGGTTGAAACCCAAGAATGTGGTTCTTTCTGTGGTCGTGAAAAAAAGAATCGTATTTGCCAGTAGGGAAACTACAGGTGTATTTAGAAGTACAAAAATTTATGTGAAAAATTTAAACAGTTTAAATAGTTTTTTTTTTTTTTTTTTTTTTTTAAACATTGAATCTTTCCATAGCCTTTCATTTGTAAAAATAACGAGCATTTATACAATGGATGAAAAGTTTTACAAAGCATACACTTAAATGAATCTGATTTTATAATAAAATTCTGATTTTTAATAGGGTTTGACATAACTTTTTTTTTAAACAAGTAACTCACACTTCTGCATATTTCTCAGCTCCTCGCATCATTTTAGGGTCTCTACCGATTTTAATGTCCAAAGATGCCTGTGCACTCTGGCAATTAAGATTTTGAAGGCTTTTGGCAATTTGTGATGAATTTTGTATATCTGTAGTGGTTTGGTAATATGCATGTTAACTATTAACATTGGTTGTAATTCTTTTGCACAGAGGTACATCTGTAGTTTGAACCTCCCTTTTTCTTGTCAATAAGAGCTGATTCAGATCCAGAATCCAGTATCCAGAATGATCTAATATGACTTTCAGACCACAAAACAATAAGTGAATAAATATGTAAATAAAATTAAAATAACAAAAAAAAATTTCTCTTCCTTGTTTATTAAGCCTAGAAGTAGAGAATCTAATATTCAGCGAAAGAAGGCAGGTGTACCATAAATTCCTTCTCCCTACTAAATTGAGATTTCCTGCAAGCAGGTCACATTCAAACAACTGCTGGCTTGTGAGTGGCCGTATTATTCATGTGTACTGATACTTGCATGTGACATGTGCATGCGGGATTGCATTTTCTCGTGTATGCTCAAAAGTACACCTGAAACACAATAGTTCTAATGAGTGTTGAAATCATGTGGTGCAGAATAATCAGAAAGAAGTTGGAATCTTTTAAAAAACTTCCCAGGATGGGCATAATGAATATCTACGTAGTAGACATATGATTAATTATTGGTGCTATTATAAAATAGTATCGAGTAACTCTTCCTTCATATATTTTTGCTAAAATTGTATTATGAAAGTGTTAAGAAGAGATTATGGGGGAAAAACAGTAGTTGTTGCATTGTATCCCTGCACTTGCACATTCAGCATTATTAATCAGTGCCTTTTATGCAAAAAAAGAGTGACTTTCCTTCCTGTGCTTTGTAAACTGGTGTGTAAAAATTTAGCAGATAACCATGAAATTGCAGAAAAGGAGGTCTGGAGATCAGTACAATGAACACGTAAGTCAGTAGAAACGTCATGCGTATGCAAATATCAGGAATGAAACATCAGAGGCAACGTGAGCGTACACAAAACGCGTGATGTCGACGCACGTAGCTCAACAGTAGAATAAAAGGAAGGATGGAGACGCAATTCAACATATTTGTTGCAAGTGCCAGTGAGTCAGTTCATGAAATATGGCTAGAAGAAATCACCTGGACGACTTCACACATGGAAAAATGATCAGAAAGCTGGAGGAGGGGCGTACTGTCACCAGTGTAGCTGCAGAGTTCGGAATCAATAAAATTGTCGTTTTGCACGCTTGGAAAGCGTTGTACAGGTACAGTTGTTAGAAAGGATGGTGGTGGCCGCCCGAGGACGACAACTGCAGGGAATGACTGATATATTGTCTTGCAGGCAAAAAGAGGCCGACACAGTCAGCAAGCACCATTGCTCAGCAACTCTGTACAGCAACGGGGCGACAAGTGTCGTGGTTTACTGTGGCCAGATGCCTTCACAAAAGGGGCCTATTCACCCACCATCCTGAACGCTGTCTCCCGTTGAAAGTTGGCCACCAACGCCACCGTTTACAGTAGTGCAGAGAGCACAAAAACTGGACAACTGATCAATGGAGTCGTGTCCTCTATACGGATGAGAGTCGGTTCAGTACCAGAAGCGATTCTCAACGCATTTTGATTTGGAGAGAGGTCGACGCCCGGTTTTATCCCAGTAATATCAAGGAAAGACACCATAACGGTGGTCCTGGAGTTCTTGTCTGAGGAGGCATTATGCTGAACGGCCAAACTGAGCTCCACGTTTTTGACAGAGGGTCTGTAACCGGGGATTACGCTATTGTGAGGAGCTACTCCTTCCGCCATGTGCGTGTGTGTTCCGAGGTGCCATTGGCCCAGACTTAATTTTTATGCTTTGACAATGCACGTCCGCATCGGACTCTTGCTGTGGAGGAGCTACTGGAAAGTGAAGATATCACTCAAATGGATTGCCCAGCATACTCCCCAGATTTAAATCCCATCGAACGTGTGTGGAATGCTTTGGGAAGATGCAATGCAGCACGCTTACGTCCTCCGCAGAACACCCAACAACTCAAACAGATGCTGATTGGGGAATGGGCACTTCTACCGCAAGAAATGTTGCACTGGCTGGTTCTGAGTGTGCGGAGGTGTTGTGAAGCAACGATTGCAGTGAGGGAAGGGCATATCCCATATTAAGAAACATCTGCTTGTTGTTCTTCCTCTTGGATAGACAAGCATGAGTCACGATACTATGCGTTTAATAAAGCTTGTTTTTCATTGATTCCATAACATATGCATTGTATTCCTTTTTCAGCTTTCGTCATCCTTTATGTACATAGTACTCTCCTTCATTTCTGCATTTCATATCTCTCAGTTGATTTCTCGTGGAGTTATGGCAAAAAACCCTGCTGTTGCTTAAGTTTTGCATACCAGTGTATATCCTGACTTGGCTCTGATTTATATGCTTCTTCATCCATAATTATATGTTGTTATTGAACTTTAATTGCATTTTTACTTTTTCCTTTTCTTCCTTTTGCTAACTTAAGTCTGTCAATAATTTGTGTTACATTTCTCATTCCTTTGCAAATATGTATGCAAATTTCGACCTTCTAAGAAAGAGAAGTTTGGTCTTTTTGTTTATCATGGGTAACATTTTTTTCATAGGTTCAGTACAGCGGAGGAACGTGCAGAGATCCGAATTTAAATTACTACATTGCTTTTTCCAGTGTGTTCTATATTATCTGTGGCGTGTCATTTATACAGTTGGTAAGCATTTTAATATTTTCTAGCCATTTTTAATGTTTAGTTTTTGTAATTGTTTACTGAAGTTTTGAAAATATGTTCCTTTATTGTAGGTATTATGTGTGAAATCAGAGTTCACTCGAATGAAACCACGTTCTGTGTTCAGGGCATTTAATGTGACAACACAGAAAATTCTATATATTTTAATATGTATGGCAACTGCATTGAGAGGGTACTATTTTTCTTCTCCAGTAAGTATTTAATATTTTCATCCCATTAGTTCAATGAAAGGTTTATCGTTAATTTATCTCATAGGTAGATTTCATGCATATCTAATTTAACCAAATATTTGAAAACGTGTGCTTTAATTCCAGATAAAAAAAAAAAAAAAAAAAAAAAAATTCCATTCTTTTAAATCTAAATAAATGTAAAAAAATAATTATAGCAGTAATTTATTTCTCTGCTGATGATAAACCATGATTTTAAACTTCAGGTAACATTAGGCACTGCTTAATATGAATTGAATGCAAACACCAGTTTGGTTTCTTTCATTTGAATATTAAGGCTTTACTGCTGCCATCAGTTATTTATATCAGGGTAATCAATCGCCTGTTTCCCCATGTCAATGGAAAGTAAATAAATGACAGCCCTGTTTTAGATGTTCTAATATGCTTGAAAATGAAAAGGACATGAGATAAATAATTTATTTGAATTAAAGTATGAATATATTGGGAAAGGTGCCAGCCATTTTCCATGAAATAAACAATAATTAATATAATTAAAAGTTTTTACAAAAATGAATCTAACTAGCAGTAACTTCTATTGTTGCAGTGGTTTTTTTTTCTGAGATGATCTCTGTGTGCTCGATGTGCTTTTTCCAAGGAGATGTTCTCTCTAGTTAATAAATATACACATACATATATGTACACAAACATGTACATAACACACACACACAAACCCATATATATAATATATATATATATATATGTGTGTGTGTGTGTGTAAAATATAAAAAAGAGGATGGCTGTGCTCTTTGCGAACCAGCAACCTTTAATTAATTTTCTGCAATTTAGAATCTTCCCCCTAGACCAGTACCTTCTAGAATATCCTAGCCTGTTACGTAACCGCTACTATAAATACTGAAGTATGCGCCATTTTTTAGTCAGACTGCATCCTAATATCGCTGCTACAAGACTGCGCTGCTCTGTCCATCTTTCGTACCTTTGTTAGAAATAGTAACGACGCATAAAGTTTAAATTCAATCATACTTAGTTAAAATCACTATGGCTATGTAATTTAGAGTTTCATATAAAAGGAAAATGGTCTGCTAATTGGATTAAATAAAAATGTGTGATTAAAAGCTAAATCATCTAGTCTCTTCCTATTTACCTCTCTGCAAACGAAATGCCTGAACTTTGATGCCAAGCTTCATCACGACTGCCGAAATATCACACATATATATATATAGAGAGAGAGAGGACACGTATAGTTTCCTTTCCTAAAACAAATATAGATTTAAACTTATGAGGGCAGTTCTAAAGGTAAGGGCATTAGCTATCGGAGATATGTTAATTTCAGCTTTATGACCTTTTAGCAAAACTTTGATAGCTAATTATTGTTGGAAATTTAATCTTAACTTTGACTTTGGATCTGCAAAAATCATTCAAAAAGCTTCTTGAGTTGCTGAATTGGATTTTTTTGAGGCTTTTCACATTCAGAAAGATTTAACTTTAGTTGATGACTTTAAAGGCCCGTCTACACGTAGCGATTTTCTTGGCCGACAATATCTGAGATAGCTCGCCTGTCCACGGAACGGTTTTCTCGTTAGTACAGGAATTCACTCAGCCAATCACTATGAAAGGAAGTGTTCCTGCCCTCTACAGTATCACACTGTCTACAATTTGTAAAAAAAGCTTACGGTGTTGTCAAAAAGTCAAAATATAATGGATGACTATTTTAAATTGCTACTATAGATACAGCTACAATTTTGAACTTAGCTAGTGCTACAGAAGGAGGAAAAATGCGTTTGGACCAGAAATTGGGTGAAACGACAAGAAATTCATAGTGCCTTCGTAATACCCTGCTCCGGGAGGTGCGTATTGAAGACACGGTACAATTCGGAAAGTATTTACGGATGATGCCGCGTGATTTTGATTTTTTGCTAAATTTAGTTTGAAAATTAAAAAAAAAAAAAAAAAAAAAAAAATATGCATTGCCTTTGTGTACTGAGTACACAGATTATACCTTTTTTATTTCATTTATTTATTTTTAAATTTCACTTTCTGGCATTCCTATTTGTGCATTTAAATCTTGAAATAATAAAATAACCATGTTTCAGAAAAAATAAGTAACTGTTGTGCTACTAACTTAATCAAAACCTTTATTAATGAATAGACAGACAATAATGTCATGAATATCAAACCAATATGAGTAAAAAGTAGTAATAAAGAATAAGGGATTACTACATTACAAAACAACAGTGCAATTTCAGTGCAAAAATATCATAAAGGTGCAAAGTCTTAAGTAGTATATTTATTGAACATTAAAAAACTAATATCAGCATAATTGAATAACTAATACAGTCTGAAAACTATGATCATATGACTCTATCAGTTAATCAGCGAATAAAGTTTGGCAATATTGTATTAGATTGGGCTGTAATTTGCTTTCGCAAAACTCAATTAGCAGAAAACCGAGTTTGTGACTTTCTTTTGACCAGTAGATCTAAAACATGTGCCAACGGCCATTCGAAAAATAAAAAGAAAGACGTTAAAATTCAATAAACACCACACCCATAGGCGAAAAAATAAAATGTGACTTTTAAGTCATGCAGTTTGAATTTAGTGATGGAGAAACTAAATTAAAAAGTTCTTCCAGGCATAGAAAGTCCAAAATTAAGGTGGGGGATCGAACCGACGATCTCGATGCACGGAGAAAAACTAGTCTGCTCTTTACGACTAGGCTATGATCGCTCTTGTAGGAGGTGTCGGAAAAGCTATGTACTTCGTCACCTGGTTAACTCCCATTTTCAGTGAAGTCAATTGAGTCTCCTGCACTACTTTATTCTCGACTGGAGATTTTGCTTTTTGAATTTTTTTCAATAAGTGCAACCACAGTTTCAAGTAGTTTCTGAATATTTTCATTTAGTACCCATGGCATGGCATCATTAATAGTTTTTGGAACTTTTCTTGTGGGAGTTAAAATAATTTTTCAGTAATGGGAAGACAAACCTCACCAAAATAAGAGAATCCCTTAATTTTTTATTTTTTAAAATTTACATTACTCGTGTCCCACAACACAACATTTTCTCTATAGAAATCTATTAGTTGAGTCGCTCCAACAAAATGCAGCCATGTTTATTATTCCAAATGAGGAGAAAAGCACGTGATCACTCAAAGCAATCTTATCGGCTAGAGACTCCGCTTTTATCATACACTAGTGAGCAGTGAACACCAGTTCTGAAATCGCAACAGAGAACATGACTGGTTTTTGGCGCATGCGCAGATCCTTAAAATTGTTGCTCTACGAGAAATTCGGCCGAGAAAATCGCTTCGTGTAGACGAGCCTTAAGTCTAATCCAGTCCTTCCTAACACTTTTAAAATTTTATTAACTTTTATTTTGAATTTCATTAATATTTTTTGGCGATAGATGCTACATTCTCATTCGCTTTACTGTGGAATATAAATATGACTGCTATGGCCACTGCTTTCCAGTCTTTCAGATTTCTTTGCTCCTGATGAAGAGGGACTTGTGCCTCTTGCCCTCAAAATCGATTGAGATCTTGACTTAAATCCACGTTAAACTCAAGGTTGTTGTGTTACTAATTTTATGTTTTACTTGGCATGCTGGCATTGTGTAAATTTTGAACATCAGTATGAAATAGCAATAAAATTAACATTACAGCATATTTATTTTAGTCACTGTTCATTAAAGTTCCTTTTGAATTATGCCACTAATTACATTTTTAATTTCCTTAGGAGCATGAAGCTATGTTGTGGGCATCCAGTCTTATGAGTGCATATTATCCGATACTTCTATCTGGTTCTTCACTCATAGTTTGCTTTTGGGCAGAGGTGAGCCTCAGTGTTATAGTATAAATAATGCATATGTATAATTTAAGGTAAAAATGTATTTTTCATCATTTCAGAGGCAACTTTATGGAAGTTTTATAGGCTTAATTCTGTAATCACATTTACATTGTATATTTCTTAAAAGTAACTTTTGTTTTCCGTGTATTAAACTGATTGACTTTTTTATAGGTATTTCATCTCAGAGACTTAACATATGATAAGCCAGGTTTTCTAAGCAAATCACTCTTGGGTTTCATATTGTTCAATATCATTACTTATTCACTGCTGCTGGCTGAGTTATTACTACTTCAGTTTTCTGATCCGTCTGATATGGAGAGAGTAAGTATACTGAATTTTAATTTATTAAATAATCTTGGTATATTGAAATAATTTTTATGTGATCTGTATACAAATGCTCTTCAGCTTTTCTGTTTTAAATGCCAACTGGCTTTTAGGAGTGATAAGTAGATACACGTATGTTTACTTGCTAATTCTTAGTTCATTACACTCCTTGTGTAGTAAGAATGTAATGCAACATAGCAGTACTTTTTTGGAAGGGGTATCATAGTTAAGATTCATTTATTTATTGGGTTCTCTTGTAATTTGTGTACTATAATATTCCATGCAAGGTTGCATATATTAGGATGTCACTTTACAAAAAAGCACACAGCAGTAGAAGATTCAGAAATGTGTTCAGTTTATGGGATTATCTTATCTAAAGATGCATTAGGCTGCAAAAAACGTTTCCAAGAATGAGTTTGTCCATTTTTTAATATTTTGCTGGAACCAGTGTCCTGGCTAGCTATACAGGATATTTTTAAATTGAACTGAAAATGCTTTGCTTGAAGCTTTGTTTCTCGTATGATTCCTCCAAAGAACAGGTTTTTGCTTAAGTTAACCAATCAGATATCCTGAAAACAAAAATTTTCTCAGCTTTCTGTTGACACATTGTTGAGGATAGCTTGTAGATGTGATACAGGCTTTACAAATATTTACACATTAAGCTAGCATTTTGATCCTGTATCAGATAATTTATTTACTTTCAAATGATTTGCTTACATGTTACTGTTATTTGCAATGAGAGAATTTTAGATAGTAAATATAGCAGTAGAATATAAATACAATATTTTTAGGAGTTAGATGTAAAGTATAGTTTTAAAACATTTAAATATGTAGTGGGCTTCACCTGTCAAAGTCTAGTTTGGTATAGAAAATGTGTTTGTGTGAGACCTGTCATTTCTGCTTAAGGTGTTAATAGAGTATGAAACCTTTTTGAAAATTAAGCAACACAAAGGTTATTAAATCCGGTCATTATAAAATGTCAATTATTAGTTTTTGTATAATGCTGCTATAAATTTTGAATGTGTTTTAAACCGAGTGTTTTATTTTTTAGAGCCTTTTTATAAATGTCTTCCATGGTTGCTATGCACTTTTGATGTTGGTGGTCGTAATCTTTTTCCTTATTTATGGTGTGGAAGTTTACTTTAAGGTAAAAATATCTTTATAATTTCATTTTTGAGATAATTCTGTTAGCATTGTAAATTTATTTCAGAATTAAGTAGATTGTTTTCTGTTTTGACTGTTCATAGTCCTCTTCTGTGCTTTATATAATACCTTGATTGTATGTATTTTATGATATATAATTTTATGAATTTCTGCTGCTTATATTTTGTAAATTTATCATGATTATTTAAATTTTGTTTTCTGAAAAGTATTTAAGAGGCTTGGGTATTGAGCTTGGAGATATACTAGAACCTATAAACTTTTTATTTTATGAAATGTTCTGTATTCATATCTTTCATGTCAGGTGCGGGGAGAATTTATTCAAGGCTCTTCATCAGCTACAGATACATCACAGCTACAGCAGTCAAGAATTGGACTAATTTCCCAAGCAGTATTACTACTTTTCACAGTTGTTTTTATATTTTCTGACAGTCTTGGTGACTTTTGGAAGGATAAGTAAGAGATGCCTTTATCTTATTGTATATATTATCTGTATACGTTCGCATGCTTAAATAATGTCCCAAATTGAGAAATCTTCTACGGAAGGCATTATAGAAGCCCACTGAAATTAATAGGTAAATTTTGGTTTGTTAGATGTAAAAGTACACATGTGTGTGACAAGAGGTACAGAAATGTCATTATGTAGTTAGTATTTCAAATGCATACTTTTCTGTTGAAAAATTTTCTGGGAAATTCATCACTAATGTAAAACGTAAAGTAAGTAAATTTGGCTGTTAGTGCGTTTTAGATTACTCTGTATGGAAACAAAAAATGTATAATGTGGCATTGTCTGGGGCCATGTTGTTTCTATTGTAGTTAAAATGTGTTTTTCAGCCTTTCAGGGTTTCAAGCTCTGCATGTTGGACAAAAAGTCACACAAAAACAGGTCTTGGCTGTGCCACAACTACACTGTTTGCCAGATTTCTCGCTTTCTAACCCAGTTGTTCTTTCTTATCAAGGTGGTTCTGTTAAAGTTTCTGAGAATTCAAGCCATTTGAAATGATGCACTCGGCAGGCTGTAACATCCAAAGATGTTCTACCAGCAGTTTCAGGAATGTGGCATGCTGAAAAATTAATGCATATTTCATTGATGTTTTCTACAAGTATTTTTTGTGAATTTTGAAATTTTGAGTATATGATTAAATTTTATTAGGTTACAATTGCGAATTTTATAAAAGTTTTTTTACATTATTACTTGTCAAGATGCCTTCACACTTTCTGCTGTAGTATATTACAAATTATGAGATGCTGTACCTCGAAGAGGAAAACTATGAAACTTTTCTCATTCATTGGTATCGAGTATTCCGTGAAGGCACTGAACCAGGCACAAACCTTATGTAAAGATTTGAAGATACAGATCTGTTATTTGTACTCCTCCCCCCAAAAAAAGATAAATTTCTGCAGTTACAGTTTTTTGAATAAGAGTAACTGCATTGTTTTGGAGTAAACTTATCTGGAGGCAACTTATCTGGAGGCAGTATTTTCCACTATAGAAAATTATCAAGTCTAACAAAAGGGTTCCATTGACCAATAGATATCTGCAATCCATAAAAAGAGTTTCCAGTAATTCTTCTCCAAGGTTACAAACATTATCAGAATTGAAAAGCCATCAAGTATAAAGCTGTAATAGAAAGTAGAAAAATGTATAATTACTTACATACGAGCACTTTTATTTTTCTGCATGAGAAAGGTTGTCATTATTTTTTCTTAAATTTTGTTTCACTGTGGAACTTTTCTCTAAAAATGTGGTGCGTTTTCATGCCTTGTTTGTTTTAAGTTTGTGTTAAAAGTAAATTATTTAATAGTTAATTCAACATATTACAATTATAGAAATAAATGTCACTCCAAAAATTTAATATTTAGTGGTTAGTATATTTGAATTATAAAATGTAACCAACAGAAATTTCTTATAGATAGAAAATAAGCATTATAATTATTGCTTATGTATGTTTTGATAAATCTTTAGCAAATGGAAATTGAAATTAGTTTGAAATTTAATTAGTTATTTCAAATTCTGTAAAAAATATCTACTATCAGCTGCTTCCAGGTTGCACATGCAGTTAGTTTAGTTTGAGACCACTGTTCTAAATAATTATTGATAAATACATCTAACAAGAGTTATCTATGTAAAACATGTGGCTAAACTAATAATAATATACATAAAAAAAAAACCTAGTTGTTTTTCATGGTGAAGATCAAGACTGGTATCTTAAGCTCATGCATATGTTTAAAATTTCTCAAGAAATGTTTTCTTAGTAAAGATGTATGTATATATAGGTATATTTACATGAGTTGAATATCGTTGAATTACTCGGGGCAACTTAAAAGTATACAAAATCATTTCTTTTCTAATTTTGTTATGTTGAATACAAATACAACATCTCGGATTCTGTATTAATTCTGAAGCTGAACTAGTTTATAGGCTTTAAAAGAACATCGTGCAATTACGTTAGCATAATATTTGTAAAACATTTTTTTAATACTGTTTTCTTTTACCATTGGATTTCTAACATGTTTTCTCTTGCCCACTGCAATTGTGCATGCATTTGAAATGTATGTGAAAAAGTTTATAATGCTTTGTGAAAGGTATTTTTCTGCAGTCACATGGATATACGAAAAACAAGCATTATAGGAAATAATTTAATTTTTAAAACTTTTATGAATCGTAGTGAAACACAATAATTGTTCAGTAAATTTATTAGCATAAGTTCATGATTGTATTTTTGAAAAAAGATTTTGATTACACTGTAATCTTCTGAAGGAATAATTTACTGTTAAAAGTTTTGAATGATAGGCCTTTTGGTTTCTGAATTTATCTAAGAAAATAAAGGTACAGAGCATAAAATTATGCATTTAAAATGAGCTGCTCAAAATAGTTATACTAATCAATAAGGAACATGTTTTTATATTATTCAAATTAGATAAATACTGTGAGGAGACTTTTGTATTATTTTATGAAGAAGACTGTATTGAACTTGAAAGAAAAGGGTTTTCTTTCCATTGGATTTTCTGTGTATGAGGTTAGAAGCAGATATTTCGTGTAAGTCATAAATAACAGTTTGCATTTTGAAAGCTAACAAAATGTGTATACTGACAGTAGTTCATTTTATGTCTTAAAAGTTATCTTTCATTAAAATTAATTGAAATATAAAAAATTAAAAACTCTGCATGTGATAACATAATTACTCTTTAATACGGGCAAGCAGCTTCTTTGCATTCTGTGACCGCAGTGTATATATCCATTGGTGGGTTGTCCTGGGTCAGATGGGACCCTTTGTCAAAATTAGTTCGTATTTTGAAACCCATTGTTCTTTTTGCTTTTTTGTTATTTACCCAAAGAAAAATATAAACCTCACAATCATATTTCGAATAGTATTACAATTAATATAAAAACATGAAAAATTATTTTGGGAATTTTGTTCACTTTAACTGGAAAACTACATAATGAAATACTAGTGTAAAGAAAGCTAAAGTTTGTATAGACGCTATTGCCATTAAAAGTGATGAAACTGAGCTTTGAGCCTGATGAACAATATCTCTACAAGAACATCTTTGACTGTACATCATTGTATAGATTTAATGACGACCTCCTTAAAATGGGAAAAATTTAAAAGAGAATCTTGAACCTTTTTTACAAAACATTTTTGAAAAATCATATTTTGTTCTTAAAACCTAAAATATCAGTTGAGGGGAAACTAGCATAAATTGTGCTACTTATTTTCTGTATTTTGTGTTCTTCCTTATTTTTAAAATATTTAAATATATTTTAATTCAAGATTTTTTGTTTTATTAATTCATTGTAATTATTTATTTTTTAAACATATTTAATTAAAGTTTGTTATTTTATTTTTATAAGATAAATTGCAAACTTTTCATTAAAACTGAATAGCCAGTCCCTGTCCGTATCCCGTGAAATATAATTTCTTCCATCTTCAAAATCTGAACTAATGAAGCTTAATTTTTCGCTTTAGTGTAAAATAAATTCTTAAATTTTTAATATTTTTTAGGGGGATACATTTTAGTCGTTGGGGATAATTTTGACTTTATAATGTTTTTATAACTGTATCTGTGCAAATACATCATGTAAAGGAAAAAGTATTCCTTGAGATGCTATTTAGAAATTGCTGAAACTTGTTGTGCTTTGGAAAAGAAAAGGCAGAAGGGGAAAAGTACAAAGATTTAAACCTTCAGCCCACAGTGTGCAAGAATAAAATGCTGGTGACTCATGCATACGCCCTTGGACAAGAGCCAAGAATGCTTTGAAATTCCTTATATGAAGATATGTTCAAACTCTGATTCCTAGCTTTCTTAATTCAGTTGATTAAAAAAGTATTTATGTATTTAGTATATCCTTGATGTGGATTGTTGCAAACTACTCAAAAGTTTTTCTGATATTTTGCAAGTTAGTTCTAGTGGCTTCAGGTTCCATGAATTTAGGGGTGTACTTATTTCCGGTCCCAAAACCATTCTCGATAACTTTTTGTTTGAAAAACATCATTTAAATTTTTGTGCATCCATTAGAAAGACTTTATTTGTTTTAATATTTGCAAACTTCACCCAGTTTTGTTACCACTTATCAGCTTGTCCAAAAATGATTCCTCCTTAGACTAAAAAATGTCAAAGCTCCTGTGGTTTTGTGAATTTTGATCAACGTTTTTGACTTCATCTAGCGTAAAATTTGTGTTAACCAAGCCTTTCTAAAATGATATAATAACAAATTTAGAAATTTGAGGAAGTTCCAAATAAAGCTTTTGAAATCATATTTTGCTCTAATACAATTGTCAACTTGCTGAATGAATTCACAATGGCTAGGTGTCTAATATCTTTCATCACACACTTCACACATTGGAATTTTCTGCACCATTCTTAAATGCATGAGTTCATAACCTTTTTCCTCTACCCTGAGAAATTTTTTATGTTCTGATGTCACGTAAAGCAGCTTTTCGAAAACAGAGTTGTATAACCCCGAGAATTTTTTTATGTTCTGATATCACTTAAAGCAGCTTTCGAAAAAACAAAGTTGTATAATCAGATTTAATAATAAGCAAAAATGAAACACAGAACTAAAAATATTTCAAAAATTAGTATTTTCATACATTTAATTGTTTTTTTTTTTTTTCCTGGTTATTGCGTAAGAGTTTTTTGTATCAACACCCTTGGTTGCTAGTAACAATTTGCGTATCTCCTTGTGTATCCAAGTGATTTTTTAATTTTGTTTTGATTGGCAGAAGAGCACTAAATCCAGACATGTATAAGTATGTTGTCAGTAATAGGATAAGTACAGTTAGTGCCTTTTCTCGAAGTTTTGGGAGCATATTCAGTGCTGAACACCAGTATTGTTCCATACTATTGTATTGCTTTCAAACTGCATTTCATGACTGCTGTTTGAGTGCAATTCTAAAAGATCTTCCTTCAGTTTATCATCATCTAACATACCGAAATTGAAAGAATATGGGAACATAATCTTCACATACACTTGGATTTCTTCACATACACTTGGAATTGGAGACTTATTATCAACCTCTTATTTGTTCAAGGTGAAGGAAAATTAGAAAGATGCTCTTTTCCAACTCATCAACACCAAAGTTGTAACTTTTCCCTTGGGTAGATGCATTAATGTCATACAAGTGAAAAATACACTCAAAGAGGCTAACATGTGGTTGAATTCATGCTTATTCTTCTAATTCTGTTTCTCCAACCAGATGGTAGTCTCATTCCTTTAGAAAAATTTCAGGCAGTTCGGAAGAGTGTGTTAAAGCATTCCTATGTGAGAGCTAGTAGACTTTCATTTTGGAAATCAACACCAAATGTTTTCTTCTAAATTCTTCACCAAAGAACTTAAAGAAGCAGTGCTTCGGAGCATAACCTCCAATCTAATTGAAGATCAACACTGAAGTGTCAAAGATTTTTTTCATCTCTGTAAGTAATGCTTTTGATGCCAAAGGATGTTGATGAAGAAAACGGTAGTTTTTATTTTCTCGTTAGTGAGAATTCTCTTGTTTCATCAGTGCAAAAAAGAAATCCCAGTTTACTTCGTAACGTTGCAAAGGCACCCTCAGTATACTTAGAAGCAATAATTTGGATATCCAAGTCATACAGACAAAGAAGCCGTTTACATAATGGAAGCTTTCTTTTCCTTTTGTGGTTGTTTTCATGCCTTAACAGAACAGGAAATCTTCCATCCCGACATCATCCCTCCAATGCAGTGAGTTGACTGCAGTTTTGCAACATTAGTTATTTCGTCAAACTAGAGAGAGATTTTTAAGGGACTAGTTCTAATATCAGTTACTACTTGATCCAAAATTTCCAAACTCTCATCACTAATTTGGCTTTGAATAACATTATTGGATAACAGCACTTGAAAGCTTGTTTGAGGCTTCCTCTTTCAGAACAGTTGTCGTTTCTAATGTATATAATTTTATCAACTCTCCTGAAATTGTATGAGGCTTCTTGCATTTGTCTTCTTTATATGTCATAGGGTATGAAGCCATCAGCACTAGTTTTTCAGTTGGTATAAAATCTAATTTTGTAATGGTTGCTTGAGAGCCAAATTCGACTCTCTTAACTTTCAATGATTCAACTTACAGCCTGCAAAACCAGCACCACCATAACAGTTGTTGAAATATTTCAGCAGTTTAGACAGCTTCAGATTTGCATTTAAAAAGATGGTGCCACAAGTATGCATTGAGGGAGGGATTGGTACATAGTCAGTTGTTTTGGTGCAACTGAGACCAAACTTCACATAATTATTATTCAATTTTTTTTCCTCTGACATCATGAATATTAATATTGCTAAAAGTATGGATCAAGTTGATTAGAAGAAAAATAATAGTAGGTAAATAATATGACAAAAGTATATTCATTTATTAAAGATAGATGAGAAATAAGTAGGGCAGGAACACAGAATCAATACTGAATGCACTCGGTTAACTAGGCTATATTATGTTGCAAAATGCGAGTTAAATTTACACGGCAGATATCTTATCAATGTATGCACAAGAAATGTTCTCACTCCCACCAGTGTCATGCATGTAATTTTTCAAAAATTATTTAACTTATTTAAAAAAAATGGAAATATTATCTCGCAGTGCGTAGAACGCTACCTTGCACCCCTGGTTGGGAATCCCTGCTTATATGCATCTGATAAAATTTCACTAATATAACTAGCATTTGAAATGTCTTTAGAAGACTGGTTTATTGTGTAAGTACCAACTCATGTTCATGCCTGGATTGTGTACAGGAGAGCTGTAGAAATTACTTTTTAAATAATCTGTGTGGATGCAATTTTTAATGACCCAGTTGCATGTAATCAATTTCAGGAGAAAAGTAAGAAAAAGAGAAGAATCCTAGAAAAAAGCTAAGTCACATGGTATAGCATTAAAGTGGCTTGCATAGTCAGTACCAAAGTGGTTAGTAAATAAAGCAACTGGCTCCAAATGGAGCCCAAATGGCAGCAGGTATATTGCTAGGCTAATGGTAGCCAAACTAACTAGTTGTTATTGTCAAACTGATTGTTCGTAAGCTTTTATGTTGTGCAAATTTTAAGATTTTTATACGTCACTGCAGGTGAAAAAATATTATTTATCTATTAGAATTTTTCTCTGAATTGTATTGAAACTTCTAGAACTCAGAATTTTTATGCTGACAGTATTTTACAGTAAGGGTAAATAATAAAATACTCTTATTATAAAATTCATTGCATTTAAAAATGTAAGTTTATGAATTTATATCTATGGTCTCCAATACTTCATTGCAGTGAGAAAGCAGTATCATTCTGACTATGTTGAGTAAGATTTAATATGCATTTTTTTTGGTAAATTTTAAGACCAAAAAAGCATAAATGTAGGAAAAAATTAATTGTGTTTAATCATTTACTTCATATGTAACATACCTGCATTTCATAAACATCTCTATTTTTCAGAGTTCCTGTCATAAGCAGGAATTGCTATAATATAGTGTTTAGAGTTGTAGAAATGGGCGTAGCATTATGGTTTCCTTGTGTGCTTTGGAACTGTATAAGGTGAGTTCTGTTTTTAACATATTGGAGTTTATAAATAAGTCTCTTTTCACTTGTGCATTTTTATGTAACAGTTTATTTTATTCATTTTTGTTTTGTTTGAAATATTAGGCCAGAGCAATTATGGATTTTGAATCCACAAAAGTTGTTGCGAAAGTTAGAAATAAAGAAGCAGACACATTATGGTGGAGAAGCTGAGGCATTGGTATCATCGGCTAAAGAAGTAGCAATTTTAAAGAGTGGTAAGTCATATTGTGTTTGCATTTGTAATCTATTAAATTAATATTACAGTTAATTATACACTTTTTTGTGTGAATTTAATTATAAGTTTAATTTTGCGGAATATACAGTCAAATGCGGATTAATGGGAAATGCCTCAATTGGGTTGTGGATTATCTGATATCTATCAAAAAGAAATGTTTAGTTATTGTACAGCAGTGGAAAAAATTACTATTGTAGACCATTCGGTATAAAACAACTTTGCTTATGGAGAATACCTCCCCCCCCCCAAAAAAAAGAAGAAATGCACAAGATTACACCAGTGATACGTCATATTGTAATGTTTGGGAGTTGTTTTTCTCCACAACAGTATGAACTTGAATTATTATGTAATCTGGAATATAAAAACATTTAAATCTTTCTTTAAAAGTAAATTGCTCAATCATGAAAATATGCAAAGCCATTGATCATCTATTTTATAATGATGTAATTATCATTTTTAATATTGGTTATGCAATAAATGAGCTTATTTGCTAGATTAAACTGCTTGGTAATATAGTTAAATTGTTGGTACACTAGAAATCCAATTTGGATTTGTTTAAGCTAAATTTCTGCACCTTAGATCCCCCCTCTTTTTCTTTCCACTTTCCGTGCCAGAAAAATACTTTTGCATGTTATTTTCAAGAACCTGACCACATTCACCAACAATGTAAACGTGCTGGCTTGTTATGCAAAATGTAAACAAATAGCTGTGAGTTGGAATGCAATGCCTGAAAATTCTTAATATATGGCACATAATTTAAAAATTAATTAACATTATAAACTCAGAATTGATATTAAAGGACTGTGGGATATTCACCCCAAAACAGCGATTTATCGTACGTGAAAAATTGGAGATAATAGAAAAACGAACTGATGTGTGGAAAGACTAATTTCAATGAAGATACAATTTAACTTTTTTCAAGTAAGTTATAATATATATTTGTTGTAGAATTTATTTTCATGTACACATGAGTTAAAAAGAGATATATAAACCTGTCATGAAATTAACCATGCTGAATTTTCTGAAAACCTTGTCTTGTTTGTTTACATTCGGAATTGAGTATGGAATAAGGAATACTGGATTGTTGAAATTATGTAATATTTTTCTGTTCTTTGTAATGTGGGCTATTCTTGTTCGTAACCACCTTCATATTAACCAAGGTTGTAAATTAACCAGCGATACCTTCCCTGGTATTACCCCAGTATATTGGGAGTTGACTGTATGAAGATGTTGCATAGTATCTTGTAAACCTAGAACTGTAATAATGATAAAGTTGACCACTGGCAAAGTTCGCAGGCACCTTTTTAATATTAGTGGTCAAACTGACTACTTGCAAAGTTTGCATCTTTTTAACTTCTGATGTATTTTAGTTTTCAAGAAAAACTCTTGATGTTTCTTTAATTATGACATTTAAAAAAGATATATGTTTTTGACTCAAGTTTAGAAGCATGTTTAAGAACCACAGCTGCAGTCAAAATTGACTACCATATCGGTATATTGCTATGAACTTACAAAAGTTAATTTTCATGAATAACCATTTTAATAGTGAAAAAAAATTAAATGTTTTTATATTAAACATCTATTCATATAGCTGCAAGCAGCTTGTTAGAAAATATGCAGTAAATTGTTTCTTGTACGTATAAAAATCTCTTTATAGTTTCTTAAGGAAGATCTGTGTAGACGAAACATTTACCACATTATGCTTTACAGTGTAAAAGGATCTTGTACAAATTGGAGCAGAAAATTAATGCAAATTACTTAAAGTAAAAGTAAGATCTGTGAAAAGAAATCATCATGTTACAAAATTTGCAAATCTTTTTCTGAATAATTAAACTGAAGCTGCAATATGCATTTCAAAACACATTTCATTAGGTATCGCAAATCAAAATGCAGAGGAAAGAAGGAAAAGACATGATATTCTTTAAGAAGTAAACAAAATATATTTTGTTAATTCTGAATGCATAAATGCAGAAAATTTAAAATCTGTGGAAATAAGCATATTTTCTAAAAAAGAAATAATGTCTAACAAATGTTATGAAGCCGCCCTTCATATGCAGAGTTTACAACATTGACTTTGTATCAAGGAAACATTAGACAAATATTTTTATTCTGACAGCTTTATGTTCACATCAAAAAGTAATAAACATGGGATATGTCTTTAAAAAATAGCATTTTAAAACAATAATAAATAAAATGTGGATGCGTTCGGTGAAATGTTAAAGTATGTATGATGAAAACATCTTTTAGCTTAGCTGCGATAAATCGGCCATTATTTGCAAAAAAAGGTTACCTAATGTAAAATTACCACAGTCCAAAATGTAGTTGTAAAGCTTGCTACAAAATTTAAAAGTTGTTTAGAAAGAGCTAGGACATAGTCCAGAAACATGGAAACTGATACTTCAAGTTAGTTGCCATACCATTTGTACTGTGAGCAAAAATGCATGAACAGAAATCGGACGTATTTAAAATGCAAGTTAACTATCTGTATGTAGAAAATATACATCACATTCTTAAACACTATACTGACGTACAGACGGTTATGAAATACTTTCAATTTGCATTTACTGCTTTGTTACTTCCCACCAGTTATATTTTCTGTTTCTGGTTTTAAAATATTTAAACTAAATATATTTTTTTAAAAAGAAAAGCTGTTAATGTGTTTCATAGTATTCTGCTTTAAATAAATACATCATTCTAGTGTAATCATTCATTTATTATTAATTGGAAGCATCGGTTAGGTATTTTAAAAAGTGATTTAAAAATGCACTTGGTATAGACATGAAACATGCATAATAGATAAATGGATGTGTGTATTTTTAATCAAAAGATATATTTTTATCGAAGAAGAATTTTTTAATTAAAAAATATATTTTGTTTACTTCTTAAAGAATATCATGTCTTTTCCTTTTTTCTTCCGCATTTTGATTTGCCATACCTAATGAAATGTGTTTTGAAATGCATATTGCAGCTTCAGTTTAAACTTGTTCTCTGTAAGAATAAATACATGCATATGTTTGTTAACCATGTAAGGTTATACTTGGTCTAGTACTGCTACTTTAGTCCTATAACCCTAGCAGACATTTAAGCAAGTTATCATTTAAACAGAACTTTGAACTTAAAGACATGACTTGGTGTTATTGCAATGACCACAGCTTGTGGCAATGCAAATAAATAAGAACAGTCAATTCAAATTAAACATTGATCAGTAGTCCAAGACCACAATTAAATAATAAGCTAAAAGCTGGCTCAATAATTTACCAGCACATCAAGTTAAAGTATCCGTGGCAAGTGACCCAAAGCCAAGATAATTACACTACTAGAGCTGGCAGAAACTAACCACATACCACACAGTGTCAGAAACATCCTCTGACTCGAAAAACCTCAGGTTAAATACTCAAATAATTAATTTGTGTTTTCATGAGAAATATAGAAAGAAGTTATAACAAAAAGTCGTAATAACTGGTTAATTAACATGTGATATTCTACAGCCAATTAATCGATTTTTAATTATTTCAAAATTTTTAAAGCTATTATTGAATCTCGTTTTTCTGTAAAGTTGATCACTAAAAAGAATTTCTTCATTTCTTAAATGATAAAAAAAAGTTTAATGATCGAAATGACCACTGTTGCAGTTCTAGTCTTCATGTGTTAAGTGGCTAAAAACTGAATTTATTTTCTGGATATAGTTAAAATTTGATGCAGTAGGCTGGTGATTCCAATTTTATCTGTCTCAAGAATGATAAATTATAATTATTGTAATATTTGAAGTACAGTTTAGATAGTAACTATTGTTTATAACCGTTTTTTAATGTTTATTTAAAACTGTAATATATCATATAATTGTTTTTTTAGACGTGTAATTTTGAAGGAACAGTTTTCATGTTTTATTCTAAATAAAAAGTTGGTTATATTGCAATACTTCTGCTGTATGCAATTAATGCATAAATGTTGGAATTGTATATATATCTGTTTGTTAGCTATCTTGCTTAGTTTTAACTTATTGATGATTTAAAAATTTTGAAACAGTCAGAGTCCTATTAGTAAATGTTTAAAAAAGGTGTTATTGAAATGATTTAATAGAAGTAATTTTACTCATTTAATAGCTGAAGGGATATTAAACCACTAAGCACTGGTAATTGGCCTTAACTTCTATTTCTTGTGGTTCAGCATTGCTCAGGTTGGTTGGTGAGGTTTGTTTCGTTTCCTTGCTTGTTTTTCATGCTTAATATAAATATTGGCCAGATACACTTTTAAAGTATTCTACTAAATAACCTAAGGAGATAAGGAAATAGCTTAAATGTGTTTTGCTAAAGTCAGATTATCCTTTCCAAGCCACATATTAATATTTCTGTTTTAGTGTTGGTGTGGTGACATCATTTGCATTAATGAAGCACCATCATTGAAACTCCTCGCGTGCGATTTTCTTTTTGGCAGTGTGGCAACATAACTCCTTCGGGAAGAAAAAGAACAATGATTGATTTATTTTCTGCCTGTGTAATTCGATATTCAAAAAATGTAAATAAATATTAATCTTGGAATCAGAACAGTCTTTATCATTTTCCTATGACCCAGACTTCCACGGTTGGCGTATCCAAAGTAAATGTAAAAGTGATGCATTGTATTTTGAGTTTCTTTCTGTCTCGCACCAGTTATGCTCGCTACTCCACTGGGACTAAGCTGGAAATAAATAGAAGGAAATATAATCTCAACAGTATTTTGATTTTCAGCTAGTGTTCTTGAAGTAGACTAACGACGTCAACGAGTTCATGGAATTAAATTCGTATTATAAGGCTTACCTGCTGGTGGTCTTGAGAAACAAACTAAATCCAAATGAATAACTAAGTTTTAATAATGATTTACATATATGAAACAGGATGAAAATGATATGTACTAGGTGACAAGTATTGTATCAAAGAAAAGTCATCATCTCATCTTTATGCAGTGTCTGTTACCTGTATCCTCATCTTGCACCCCTCCTCATCTTGTCTCTTTTCAAACAGTTCTGTTGAATGCCATTGAATACCATCTATCCATCACTGAAGATACCATCCTACATTAATGTTACTTCATTCGTTGAAGCGGAAACAAAATTTATGCGACTAATATGATTTGCTTCTTTAAAATCTCTAAATGGGAAAATTGAGTAAATTTTGGCACATTTTTAAATTGAAGCAAAATATTCATTTCAAATTTTTCCTTAGTTATGTTGGGAAAGCAGAAAGTAGTCCTTGAATTGAAATCATCTGTATCTGTATGCCACTTTCATAGCAATATATTGTATAGTCAAGCAATGTTAAGTAATATGGCTAGTTATTCTTCTATATCCAAAAATTTATAATCTACAAAAATATATAGTTTTATTTTATAATCTACAAAAATATTTTAATTTCAAAACAAATGGCAAGTTATTTGAATATAGGTCTGTATTCCCAATAAGCTTATTGAATAAAATATAATTAATATTTTCATTATTTTTCTAGTTTCTAAATCAGATGGCAGGTTTACAAAATATTTTTTGTGTGTGCATATTTTAAGATCATCGAGGGTTTTAGTAACTTGGATATAATTGATGGAATTCCACTTTAACCAATGATTATTAATTTGTAATGGCATTGCAGCGCAAATATGTGAAAGGAGTATTTGTTTAGAGCATATTTCAAGCTGTTGAGTGTGAGAAGTAGATTTTTTTACTTAAATATGTTGACAAAGCCACAGACAGCCTATTGAAAAAAAAAAAAAAATGTAATTAGGTTGAAGTAAAGCTTAAGTTATCATTCACTAGGATTGCTGTAAGCATAGTGGCACGTTTGGCTAAAAAAAAAAAAAAAAAAAAAAAAAAAAAAAAAAAAAAAAAAAAAAAAAAAAAAATGCAAAAAAAAAAAAAAAACAAAAAAAAAAAAAAAAAAAAACAAAAAAAAAAAAAAAAAAAAAAAAAAAAAAAAAAAAAAAAAAAAAAAAAAAAAAAAAAAAAAACACACAAAAAAAAAAAAAAAAAAAATTTGGCTTTATATGCAGTTTTTTAAAATTATGCTGCAGTGATGCAAGCAGATTTACACTTTCTTTGAGCTCTAAATGTAATATGTTAATTTTATTTATTGTAATTAGATACCACCAAGTCATTTGAGAAACTCCCAGAATGTTGGATATGTTATGATCCTGAAAGGGAAGACTCAGGACCCTTGATTCAACCTTGCAGGTGTAGGGGGGATGTTTCAGTTGTGCATCATGATTGTTTAAAGCAGTGGTTAATAGAAGTAAGCATTTGAAATATTTTGAGTTTTTTTATTTCAATTAAATAAAACACATTATATATAGTATATATATATTTTTTAGTCTTCTAGCCAACCAGATGCTGCAAAGTGCAAAGTATGCAATGAACCTGTGAGTATTTATTAAAAACATACTTAATCATAATTTTTAAATCTTTTCTAATTATAGTAGTTAAGCATTGCTGTCTTAATAGTATATGCTACAGTATATGTTTAAGAAGCTATACAAGTTAAGCATTGTATAGCTTCTTAAGCATATAGCACTCTGTATTATGTATCTGGATTAAATCATTTTTATTATAACATTCTTCTCTGTATGTCAAAGTTCAGAAGATGTATGAATATTTTTTCCTTATATTTATGTAAATTCCTTAAATTTGGAAGAAAGTCTATATCCTATTTTCTGTCTCTAAAGTACACTTTGATGAAAAGAATCAGAGACTTAGTTTTTGCTGTTTCATGACAAAAAAAAAAAAAAAAAAAAAAAAAAAAAAAAGTATAAAATTAACTACTGTTTAGAAGAATCTTAATTTTTTGTAAAATATAAGTGCACATCAAAGCACTTTAAGAGTAATAATTAATCTATTGACTTCATAAAGCAAAAAGATTCTGCAGAAGTGCATAAAATTATTTTGCCTACAGAATAATTTAGCTTCATAAAGAAACATTTAGGTCACATTCTCTCAGGTGCATTGTTTTTCATGTATGTGAATTTTGTTTAGATGACATTTATATAAATATATGTTGTTTATGTAACAGTATGTTATTAAGTTGGTAAAATTACTCAAACTTGTAATAAAATTGTAAATTTTTTGTTTTAAGAAATCGTAACAAATTTTATAAGGCTCTGTGTGTAATTTCGTTATATTTTCTCTTTTGGCTTCCTCACCCTTTTTTATTATCTGTGTATGCATTGCATTCATTTGCTCTGTACTTTAAAGAGTAACTTTGGATATGTTTTCAGTACAAATTACGACAAAGCTGTGTTTGGCTTCCTCATGGTTTCACATTTGCTCATTGGGCAAAGACTGCTGGAATTGTTGCTCTGATGTTTAGTGCTGTAGCTTTAGCATGTTTTCTAATAAAAGAATTTGAAAATGTGGGAATTCGTACTTTAGCTGCAGGATCTGCAATATTAGCTGTGTATATTTGCTTACGGTAAGGTCATTATAATCTCTTAAATCAGCAATTTTACATTTGAATGTAAATGTTTTAATTTAGCAAGAACAATATTTAGATGAAATAAACTGATTTTTAAATATCTATATTTTCTATAAAATTTTGAAGGATGGACGAAGGGAGGCATGTCAGAACTTCAACTCTTGGTTTCATTTGTGTTAAACTAAAAAGTGTAAATTGGTGAAATGTTTTTGTCTTTCATCATTTAATTTTATATGGAAAGAAAATTTATGCATAAAAATCGTTTTACATATTCATTTATTTTTTCTTCAGCTCTTTTTTTACTTTTTAAATTACTTTTCATTTTATGGTACTTTTTAATTCAAAATACATTGTTTTGATATAAAAGCCAAGAAATAATAGGATTATGTAAAGTGTACTATAAGCTACTTAGTGTAGTTACACTACTTCATCTGCCAACCATTTCCATTTACCTTACATTTGTGAGTGGCAGATGCATGATCTTTAGGAAAGAGAAGGGCAACAACTGTACTATGTGCTGTTTCAAGATATGACGGAACAATAGAAGTTGTGCTTCCCTTCAAAACACTGTAAAAACAATGAAATGCTGGTTTGAATGGTATTGTTCGGTTATCAGGACTAGATAAAGAAATGTATGTATGTATGCATGCATGCATAAATTGTAAATATGAACACATGTGTGTATGTATACATTCGTACATTTCTGAATCCGGTTCCGATAACAGAACAGTACTGTTTGAATAACAAGCATGCATTTGAATCATGTTTAGGATTGCTTTAGAAATAAAATACTATAATGGGTGTATTTAGATCTCTGTATTTAAGCATACTGTTTTTTCTTGGTTCACTTATATTTTTAAACTTAAAAGTTTTATTTATTTTTCAAAAAATCATTCTGGACCCACAGTAAATAAAATGCTTTAGTGAAAGGAAAATTAAAAAAAAAAAAAAAAAAATTAAGGGATGATCAGGAAAAAGAAGAGAAGCCGTTTTAATAATATTCAGCCCAAAAAAGTGAACATTTTACAACTAGCAAAAGCTGATTCAGTAGAATCAGTAATAGAAAAAAAGGACTCTTAACATGATAATTACTGGAGAAGGTGCTGATGCAGAATAAGCTTCAGCATTTCCAGTAACTCTTAAGTGGTATAATTGACTTTAGAAAGGTATGCTCTTTAATTAGTGTATTGTGAAATGAAGTTTTTGTAGACTGTAATTGCAGTTTGCATATTTATATTTTTCAATAAAAAATTAGCTGTAGCCTACAAAAGGCTATTCAACTTTTTCTTCTGGAAAGTAAACTCTGTTGCTAATTATAAATTAATATTAATACTTATGTATCACTACAAAACCCTAAGAGCAATGAAGAAATTTTAAAATCTTGTTTACCTGTGTCTGGAGAGAGTATACAAAATCTTGAATCACTATAGATATGATTTTAGAAGTAACTTGTAACACAGTTTGTCTATCCATAAAATGACACAAATTCATTTGTTATTTTGTTCTTGACCTGCCAGTGTTCAAGTGAATGAGATCACTGAACATAGATAGTTTATGATAAATGGGCAATATTTTCTAAGTTTAATGTGAATATAATTATGAAGCCAGTTTACCAAAGAAATCCATCAGAGTAGAATCCCCTCCCTTAAGGAGGTATTGGGTTTATTAAATCCATAATCACATTGTCACACTTTCTTTGTACTTTTTAACTTCACTATTATATTCTATGAATGTGTTTCAGGGGCATGTGTCGCCTGTGATTTTGTTGTTACTTTTATTCTAGTTTAAGTTTAAATAAATGTAAACCAGTAATTTGAACAAGGTTTTCCCATAATCAAATGAACAAAAATCGACCATCATTGCTCTGTAGCAGCGATAGGTTTTTGCAGTTTTAGTTTAGCGAAATTGGGTAAAGAGCTTTTACTACAGTAGCTGCTGCAGAGCAAGCCTTCAATGAGGTAATGCATGGGTTGAACCTTTGAATTAAACAGGTGATTCCTTGAGTTAGAAGAAAACTGTGTAAGTAACGTGGAAAATTATAAGAGTAATTTACATGAAACCTCCTGTTTTCATCATTTGAGAGCCTTAACATCAGATGTGGAATATTGTGATCATATTTAGCATAAGGCCATCAACATAGCATTTGTTATGTAGAGCAGTACTTACAAATTTCACAATTATAAAATTTTTAGCATTGATAACTGTTTCCAGAAGACCATACTAGTAAATTGGAAGTAACCATAGCAGGGGTGGCCAACCTTTTCTGGAAAATTGCAACTATTTGGATAAAAAAGTGATGTATGCGACTTTAATTCAAAGTTAATGAAAAGCATTTGCAATATTGTAGTCTAGAGCCAATATCATAGCTTGTGTCATCTGTGCAACATGTGACGGTATTTCTGGACATAGCTATTTTATCAACTGTATTTTTGATGTTTGAAGGATTATTAACTTTTTGAAGACAGGATGGCCATTATAGTGGCCATAGAGTCCTCTCTTTGAAAAGATGGGGTTGTCCACTTTAGAGGCCATGTCTTTTTCCCCCATTTTCCAGGCTGAAAAGTGGAGTGAAATGTCAAATTTGACGTTCCTTGGGTTTTAACCACTTATCTCTTTCAAAGGTCTTCGTTTTACTACATAGATGCACCCCTCTGAGAATCCATTAAACTACACACAAGAATCTTTGTTGAAATAGGAGGTGTTTTCTTAAAGGGGGGAAAGCATTCGGTTCAAGATTCCCCGTCCTTTGGTAGCTTTTACTGCTACCAAAGCCCCGGCCTCAAAAGGTTAACAGGCTGAAGATTCCTTTTTTTTTTATTGTTAAATTCTGTTAACAAGTGTGATCCAACAGGATATTTGCTGTTGAATTCTCTAAGCAGTTGTTTTAAATGTAGTCCAGGGTCAATTTTTTCATACTGCTACACAAATTCCACATATCAAACAGGCTTCGAAGCATTTTGATGCATAAATAATTATTCTTCCCAGAAGACCTGCAATATTCTCTTTGTATTTTCTTTTTGATGTCGAAAGGTTACTCCATAGCCAAAATAAAGTTTTTGAAATGACTCCAAAATCTAAAAACATTACAAAACATTACTAAAAACATATTAAAAAAAGCTTAATGGCTTGATTGGCAGTGTAAAATCAACAGAGCCAGACAGCCAGAATATCACATGGTCTTGCTCAAGAATCTACAGCCATGCAAAACGCAGTGCCCGAACAAGGCAAATGTAACCATTAAGCTCATTCCATGACATGTTGTCTTGCAATGCAGTTTTAATGATGTTGAACACTGTCTCTTTCTGACACTGTTGTATTCAGTAGTGTATGAGTAGGGCTTTTATGGATTTTGACAAAGTTTCTGAAGAGACATTATTAATTTTCCATTAAGTCTCTTGTGCCGCTATTAAAATTCCACCATGCCATACAGCAGCAGGCTGTCCATCTGTGAGCTACAGATACAACTCTGTACAGTTGAGAATTAGCTTTTCATAGATTTCTGTTATAATGCTCTGCTATTTCTTAAAATGCTTTTAATATACGTTGTTAAATATAATTATATATATATATATTATAATATATATATATATATATATATCTATATAGATATATATATATATTATAATTTTAGATAGTTATTTCTAGAACCATGATAAATGAATAAGAATGACTAATTTACATGTAATTAATTTACTTGTTAAAATAGTTGCAAAATAAAATGTGCTTTTATTAAATTCCATTTATCTCTGTTTACAGGTTATTAGGATTCAGTGTTCTCAGAAGTTATCAAAGAGCCAAATTTTCTGCTGTGAAGATCTTGAATCATAATTTGACTAACGGACAAGCTGATGTCCTTCTGACATTACCTCAACCGGCAATTTCAGTTCCTGCTCCTAGCAGTATATCACAAGCAACATGAAAAGTGAGATTATTATTTTATGTTGTGACACTAATTATTTTGTCTCAATGTTAATTTTGTTTTTGGCTTTTCTTAATTTCTAATGAGGAAATCTTGAAAATAGGTTTCAGAGAACTTTTAGGGAGGATCAATGTGAAGTGAACAGTTGTTGTAAGGCATGACATTTTGCAGTTGCCCACAACCTCCAAAATAGAGTTTATAAAAGGGATAGTTTCGTAAAGTTGCTCATACATTCATGCAAGTCAGCTAGTGTTTAAAAAATACATAAACCTTCATTAAATTTCTATGACTAAAAGATGTTCACATCCTTTAGTCAGATCACGTTATTACTTGGGAAAGGAGACCTTCATAAAAGTGCAGGCACCTATATGCGAGGGGTTTGCTATGCAAACGAATTTTCATTTACTTTTCTAAACTAAACAATTAACCCTGTAAACTGTAATGAACTAAAACCTTGCTTCCGTTGTGCTGCTTCAACATAAAGGTGTGCATGTTTTTGCAGAGGTTGCTTTCTGCGAGTAAGAAACTGATCTGCACAAATGTGCAGACATCCTTATGAAGATCCATCCTTATCCTCCATTCTGTCAAAGAGTAATCAATTTGCTTTTAAAATTCATACATTTTATGGTAAGACACTTTTTTGAGCGTATCCTATATAAAGTAGCACTTATGCCCATAATGTTCATAGGTATGTTTCATACATTGACATCAATGTAAATGTGTGCATATGTAAAGAGGTGCATGAGAGAGAAGTAAAGCAAGTGTTAAACTGAGTGACATAAGGCAAGAGGTTGGATTTGGATTATCATTGTAATCTACATTGCTGGCCTATTACCATGAAGAAAATAGCAATACCATGCAAATAAATACCATGCAGTAAATAGCAATACCATGAAGAAAAGCAAATACCAAAAAAAAAGAAAAAAAAGTACGTAAACAGTATGGCATGAAGACAAAATAATTAAATTTGTAAGCAGTTTTGAGGTTTACAGGGGGAGGCAGAATTAGTAGAAACAGCTACCACCCCTGGCAGCTAAAGCAGCCCTTACCAACTTTCAGCAACTGACCAGATGTCTTCAGTGGGCGACAGATCTGGAGACCGTGCAGGCCAGTGCAGCAATAGAATACCCTATGTATTAAGGAAGGTCAGACCACGGCATGCAACGTGTGGTCTTGCTTTATCTTGTGTGAACATGGCATTTGGAGGCTTCGAAGATAGGGCACAACCACTGGACGTAAGATGTCAGAAATGTACCCATCTGCATTCAAATTACCATTGATCCGAACTAGATAACTATGGTATCAAATTCAGATATAGAAAACATGATAGAGCTGTGCACGTCATGTACCCAATGCCTGCCCAAAACCATCATACCAGGTGCAGGGCCCTATGCCGATATCAAATGCAAGCGGTGATGTGTGGTCTCCTTGGACAGTCCAAACACGTATACGCTCATCAGAATACTGCACATAGAACCAGGACTCGTTTGAAAAGGTGACTTTGTGCCGCTCCTGTACAGCTTTGTCGTCTGGTGTACCAGAGTTGCCGTTTCTCTTTATGCTGCATTGTCATGAGAAGCCAAAGTAATGATCATTATGCTGATAGTCCATGCTGCTGCAAGCATTTACGTGCCTTACAAGCTGATACTGGGCGTACTGCAAACATGCCCATTTCCTGACTAATCATCCACGATGTGGTCGTCTGGTTTTGCAGGGCTGATGTCACAATATGTGTGTCCTCTCAGGCGTTAATCATGGGAGGGCGTTGAGATTCTGCATGACGTTCAGTATGACCCTCAGCAATCCATTGATTCCATATTCACGATAATGGGATGTCTACCAGTGTGACCAGCGATATCACGGAATGATAATCTAGACTTTCGATAGGCAGCGATGCTGCCTCTATCAAATTTCGAAACTTGCTGGTAAGCATTTCCTCTTCTTATTCGAGGCATAACATAATATTCTGAGCGAACTCCAACCTTACAAACCAGTTTCCGAATGAGTAATCCACTACACAACTTTTCTTTTATGCAGTGCTTCAGATGTTGTTTCTCCCTCCTGTATCATCTAAATGTGCTGAAATACTAATTGTTTGTATATCCCAAACTCTCTTCCTTTCATGTGATTTTTACATTCATCAGATCATTCCTTCTTGGTGTTGCAATTTTAATGGGTAGCAGTGTATATTACTTGCAAGAAAGGTGTGTGCTATGTGTTTGTGTTCCTGTTTAATGAATGTCCTGTCTACAAATCTGCCGTATATTTACTGGAATAATGACAAGAACCTTGCTTGGGTCTAAAAGTCTGCATTAACCCACCCATTACACATATTATAGCTTGGAGCGTCTGTCATGTTTAGTGATAGAATCAAGTTAATATGATTTAGGTCACATGGATTGCTTACCAAGCAAGTTAAAAAAAGGTAAATATATTCCAGTGTGAAATAATGGTAGGTTTATTAATAATAAATTTGAGAAAGAAACTGTGTGTAGCTTAGAAACTGATACTAGATAAAATAGGAACTAAGTTTCTGAAGAGTATGGTATTATGAATTAAGAGTTACTTTGACCTGCTTAAACATAAAGAACTCGAAATCAAATTCAGATATAGAAAACATGATAGGAGAAGTTAAAGATTTAGGTTCTGAAATTCAAACTGCCCAAGACTATCAAGAAAAAATAACAGTTTATAAAAACTGAAAAATAAAAATAATTTTGTGCTGGTAAAAGGATGAATGTAATTACACTAATTAGATTAAATGACAACTGCTAATCTAAATAGTCATGATAATTTTAATGAAATTAGAGCTAGCAGGCAAAGAAAATAATTGCTGGGTTTGCTTTATCTGATGAGAATTATGATGCAGCTATTCAACTACTTTGGTGGTAAGTTAATACACATAGGAATAAGTTATTAAATCTTAAACCTAGACATGAGTTGTAAAAAGTTTTAGCATCAGGGAAATCTCTATGACAACATCCAAATTCAAATAAAAAGTTTCTCACTAAATGTGGAAACGGAAACTTAATGGAATTTATCATCATCATTTATAATGAAAGGTGTTTGTATTAATTTAGCTTTGAGTTTAATTTTGATTTTACAACAGATGCATGTTTTGATATTTAAGAAATTATTAGAATTTATTTTGAAGCTCAAGTCACATGAAAGAACTTAACTGCAATCGAGTACTTAACAATCTGAAAAGTAAACAAACATGGTCAAGTGATTTACAGCATTTAAAAAAAAAATTGAAATTGTGCCAAGGTGAAAAATTATTTAACCAGAGCCAATATTGCCTCAGAATGCATATATTGCAAAATGAAAAAATACTTGTAGCAATGAAGATGTTTCTCTAGAAGATAAAAAGGTGAAATTCATTGTGTAGCATTAATTTTAAAATGTGTAACGTAAAAGTGTAAAAACGCTGTCACAGCCGAATTCTCACCCCATGTGATTGACAAAATTGTGGAGCTTTGCACCAAGCATAAAAATAACTCTGTTATTGCTTCATTTATCAATTATTAAAATTGAACCTATTTTAACCACTTACAGTTTCTTTTTTCCGTCATATTATGACAAAAAATAAGCATATTTTTGATAAACATTTTTTATGGTTTTTTTTGGTTTTATTAGATTACAGCAAAGCACTCGAGGGCTATCTGCCTTAAGGGAGGGACAGCTTCATAGAGGACTTTCTAAGGGAAACTGGTTCGTATATACGTTACACATGGGGAAAACCACGAAAACGCCCATGCAGCTAGCGCGTTCACGGGATTTGAACCTCGGGCCGAACTACCAGTGTTCAGAGACATTACTGCTCGGCCACTGGTGGGCCTAAACATTTTTATGAAGAAATTAATTATATAAACCCAAACTAACATTACACACTAAACAAAACAGAAACAAAACAAACAGAATTATGAACAGAAACATTACACACTAAACAAGCAAAAAATTCAAACAAATCAGTGTATTAGGCTAGAAAGAAATGTTGCCTGAGCACTGCTCGGGAAAATAAAAAAAGTTCCATTTCCAAGTACCCGAATGCTGCGCAGTGGTTAAATGGTGTAATTGATTCGTGGTCACAAAGTTAATTTTGTTCCAAAATGTTAAAGCGCACTGTTAAGCCTTCCGAGTTGTGGAGTATAATGTAGGTAGTTTTTTCTAAATGCAATGGCAGAATATTAATGCTTATGGATACTGCTGCTATTACTGATGGCAGTAAGAGTGTCTGCGAAACATTTGCTGTGTTCTGTATTCTTATTCCCTTCTCCCCCTAGAATTAGAAAGTTAGTAGTTGCAGTATAAACCTAGTATTTTTAAACACTTTTCTGCTCTGTGTTTGCTTGGCATATGGGATTTAATGTTATGTGGGTATCTACGAATCTCTTCGACTTTTCTATTGCAGTTTCTAATCTCTCCTTTAAATTCTTTTAAAGGTCATTAGGTTGAGCATGGTTAGGATATTGGGAAGGGGGAATACTTTGCTTTGCTTCCTATGAATCTTTGGATATTTTGGAAGCATTGTTAATATTTTTTTTTATAAATTGATGTAAGGGGGATATAGAAAAGTATCAGGGGTGCCTGCTACTGTTTCAGTGAGTAAGCACACTGTTTACCATTTCCTCCGAGTCTAGTTTATACGATTTGAGAGCAGTTTAACTCTGGGAAGCAGATTCTCTCTATCAAAAGAGATAAATGGGATGTGTTAACTGTCTTTAATGGTAATTTAGGGCATGTATGAGCATCAAAACTACGTGTTTGTTCAAGGAAGAAATTAGTCTTGCCATTATTGCCAGTGATTGCAAGTCATTGACTTTATCTTAATCATAAGTTAATGTCTCACTTCTCCAGAGAATTTTTCCATTGAAATCGCTTCACAACATTAGTTCATCACCCAAAAGAAACAGCAAAAAGTGTCCATGCTATGTAGGTCAATAGAAATAAAACCATCCTTCTCTCCTAATTGGGAGACAAGAAGAATCTGTTAATCAAAAATGAAACTTTCAGCTTGAAAACAAGAATATGCATTCATGATCTTTTAGAATGGAATTTCATTTGATATATCTGTGCATTAGACATGTCAGACATATGACATGTGCAGTATCTTTTTGTTGACATTTATTCATGTTCAAAATAATGTATGGATAATCTATCTACATAAGGCTAAATTCAGTAAATTAATTTTCTAGCCTTAATGCTGGATAAGTAAAGTTGTGGTTGTACATAAAAGAATTTCAAAAATTTGATTTTGTGTAATAGAAAAATGAATCAGGTTCTATCTATTGAATGGAAAGATAATTTATTAGGAAGATGAGAGATAACTCTCATGAAGAAAAAAATGGAAAGCTGCAATTGAACACAGGTAGATGGTTATAATGCATTAATTTATTTGTTATATCTATTGAATAATGCTATCAGTGTACTTCTGCATTCATTAAATTAGTGGAAAGGGGTTGTAGGCCAAGCCTCTTTTAAATATTAAAAAAAATATATTATCTGATCATCTCTGAACCAATATCTATTAAAACTCATAGTCAGGCTGTATTCTAAATATTTGTGGAAACATGGATAAAATGCCTCATATATTGATCATAAATGGACCATTGTGTCGTTTTGGATATCTTGAATTGTCTAAAAACCATTGACTTTGTAAAACAGTCTTAATAAGAAAGGACAACAAGGCTATAGAGTGAGAAATATGGTAAGTAAGGTGGCTGTGATACATCTGGAATTTGTTTCTGATCATGAAACTGATTGAAGAAGCTTGAACTTCTTTGCTGGAAATGCATCACCATGCCAGATAATGGTAAAAAGATGCTTTGAACTTTTTGCTATCAGTGTATCATGTGCTCCTTTTATCCCTTTATAGGTCTACCACAATAAATCTGATATTCATTTCATCTTTAATTGTGAATAAAATACCAAAAAGTTATAAAGAACCAAAACAAGTGCATTTTATCACATTAGGAGTGTAACCTCCACAGAAGAAAAGTGTTGTCAACAAGGGTCTGCTATGTTTGCATGCTTAAAAGAGACGTCAAGAAAATTAATATTTTTTCTTAGTATGGAAAGAGGGGCCTCCTTCATGTATGGAACAATGTTTTAAAATATACCATAATTAAAATTTATGATGTTTAGTTACATTTTTTATATTTCAAAAACCTTGCATAAAATATAAATACAATCTTTTTTATGTTATCTTCTTGTTGTTGATGAACCTTTAACAGATGCCAGTTCATGAAATTCCCATGCATTCCTGATATGTTAGCCCATTGTTGGCACCAAAAAGGTTTTTCACAAAATGAGTTAATTTGTGATGGGTATGTGCCAGCAGAATGGCAGTAATGAGTTATCTTATGGTTAACATTCAACATGTTAAAACAGAATAGGGCATAATAAAATGGCTTAATAACAAGCATTGTTATTATTAGGTACTGTATATTTTGCTAAATTTTTTCCATACATATATACTGAATTTGTTGTGTATTCTGAAACAGTAAGAGCACAAACTAAGCATCTCTGAATATATATATCAGAGTGTATACACACATATATATATATATACACAAAGAACTCCATTTTACTTCTAATGCTTTAAGTTTATATATACCAGGTGTCCCAAAAATGACTGATGGATTTTGTAAATCAATAAAAAAAAATATGCAATAGATGTATCGTTTGCAGCCTTATGCTTAAGAAATCATGGAATTTTATCCCACCAAATTTCAAATTTAGTTAACATTTTCACCCGCAGGTGGCACTGCAGGTGATCTGTAACAGGTATAGTTAAAATGAAGTATTTCAGCTCACCATTCCGTAGTTCGTTGTCAAGCTGATAGCGTAGTGGGGTTTTTTTCTGTTGTACAGTAGATCTGCCTGAAACAGAGTTTTGTTCAAACAAGGCGCAGTTTCCAAAGAAAATTTCATGTGAGAACAGGACCATCAGACAATGCGATAAGGACTCTATTCCAAAAATTCGAGTGAACAGGGAGTGCGAATGATGACCATATTAGAAATGTAGGCCAGCCACGCCTTGCAGTTACAGAATCGAACGCAGAAGCCGTACAGCAGGTTATCCAATAGCAGCCCTGGACTTCCCGTATGCCTGTGTTGCATATTGTACGCTGGACTCCGAAGAATGAGAGCACTCACCGTCTCATGCATGACAGCCTTCAACATGTTCCCGTACAAAATCCAGACTCACCAACCCCTCAGTCCAAATGCCATCGATGCACACTATAATTTCGCAAACACCATTCTGCAACTTGTGGATGATGGTGAACTCGATGTTGGCAAAATATGGTTCTCAGATGAAGCGTATTTTCACGTCGATGGCTATGTCAACAAGCAGAACTCGCGAATTTGGGGAAGAGAAAATCCTCATATTGCTAAACCTTCATCCCAGCATTCACCAAAGATAATGGTATGGGCTGTAGTTTCCTCCAAAGGAATAATATGGCCATTTTTTTTGAGCAACCGATAAATGCTGTATGATATCTTGGGATTCTGGAAGAATATGTGGTGATTCATACTGCTTTGGAGGACCGTTCGAATGCCTCCTGGTTCATGCAAGATGGTGCTCACCCACATCGGACGTCCGCAGTATTTGATTTCTTGAACGAACATTTCAGTGAGAGGGTATCATATTTGACAGCATATAAGATGCACCCTTATTTAGAAGGCCACACACAAGGAAAAAAGTTTCAATAGTCTTCGCGAGAGCGTGGTACCACAATAACTTAAAATGTTCTTTTAGTTCTCGCGTTTCGTAAAAGTCAAATAAACAATCATTCAGTGCAATTACCACCCATATTTTTAAAAGTCCACCAGGTCGCTCGCCCATACGTTCTGTAACCACAGTTTCATTCCAGCTTTGTCCATCCAGCCTTTCGGATGAACATGAACAATTACACTCGTTAGAAGTTTTTATTTTGAATGAATTTTTCCTTTGAATATGAAAAACGGTGGTAGTTTTGTGCCATCAGCACAACATGTTAGAACTACCATATATCAGGTTTTTTCATGACCTGTGGTTTTTATGGTTATTGATTTAGACCCTTTAATACTCACAGTCTTGTTAGATGGTACATCAATTTGTGAGTGGAATTTCATCTATTTTTCCTATTTGACCGAGCTCAAAAGAAGTTTTCTTCCTACATTTATAACAAACCTATGAAATGGTAGTATTTTTTCTTCATAATCTACTGGCATTTTCTGTGCAATAGTTGTTTTGGTATGCGCATTGATAAGCCTTGCCTTTTCATGAACCTGTAGCACCAGCCCCAGACCCTGAAAAATTCTGATTCCCATCTTTTCTGCAAATCCTTTGGCCTCATTGGTTATCATTTTAGTTGAAACACTTATCCTAGATTTCCTCTTATCTGTCACCCACATTTTGATTTTCAGTTCAGGCCAGTGGAGCTGGGCATCGAAAGTTATGTTTTTGTTTTTTAGCAGTTTTCAGTTGATCTTCCTGCAGTCGCCAAGTACATATAATTTTTTCGGTAGGTGGGGCACCGAAATGCCTTTCTGCTGCTCTGTTTCTCTGCACTTTGGCGTAGTTTAACACTCCTAGTTTATACTGAATTGTATATCTTAATCTCTTTGTTTCCTGTAGTCATATTTTCCAGGGTATTTTTTAAAAACAGATAGTTTTAAGCACCGATACCGACACGTTTATCCAGAGTAGCACCGATACCGACACGTGTGTCGGCCAAGTCAAAGAAAGTCTATGTAAAGAAAGAAAGGCTCCATAGACGTAATGTGACCATCGAACCTGTTTCGAACTTCGACATCAGCTTCAAACTTTGGCGCTTTTTGGCGACAGATATTCATGCATGCGCAAAATAATTATGGCAAATGTAGAAAAAGTTATGTGTGTCTAGTCCTTTATCCGGGCTAAAAATAGCATTCAGTATTGAAAGTTAACCTGTGTTCTTCACATATAAGACGCAGGTAACTTTTTTGAGACCAAATTTAGGAAAAAAAGTGCATCTTATATGCCGTCAAATACGGTAATTGCCTTGCATTACGACATGCATACAGGAAGTGGCATGGCATGGCCTCCTTATTCGCCAGACTTGACACCCTGCGACCATTTTCTTTGGGGGTACCTGAATGATGTGGTATACCGCCAAACTCCACAAACAGTTGTGGAGCTGAAGCAGCACATCTGTACTGCATGTGAGACAATTCCAAGTGAGATGTTTGAACGGATGTATGGAAATTTTTGCCTGAGACTGCACCACGTTGTTGCAGCAAATGGGGGTTACATTGAAAATGTGTTTGTTTAGTTTTTTGCAACAGTCCTTGCAAAATTTTCATACCGGTTTTTATTTTTTCATAGTTTTCAGCGCCACTTGTGGATGAAAATGTTAACTAAATTTGAAATTTGGTGGGATAAACTTTCCTGATTTCTTAAGCATAAGGCTGCAAACGATACATATCTCACATTCCGTCTTTTTTTATTGATTTACAAAATTCATCAGTCATTTTTGGGACACCCCGGTATGTTACTCCAATATTCCAAATTATTATATATATATATTTCAAAATTAAAGAAAATCATTGCTTTTGCTCATTGATATGATACTAAGATGATAGCATATAAGAAAGAAAATGTTTTCTTTTCCAGTGATTTTCATTTCTCCCTAAGCAAGTCTTTCCTGTGAAAACTGTCCCTTGACGTGAAGATGGACGATTTCGAAAATTGAGGTCTACATCTCAAATTATTTAACTTAAAAGGGACTTCAGTATTTATTTCTCTGTGAATTGTGTTGTCTACCTGCTGGACAAGTTGGCTGTGAAAACAGTTATTTAATTATATTTAAAGTTAGAATTAAAAATTCTTTAAATCTATGCTTCAGATTATTGTTACAAGTTTTTTTATACTGTGTGCAATTATTATTATTTTTGCTTTGAAAATTTATACCTGATGAGATATCCTGCCTAAATAACTTATTATAATGCAGCTAGTCTGGTAGCGCAGTGAAGTTTAAAATTTTAGATGTAAATAAAAGGTTAACATATGTTCATATTCTCTGTATATCATTACTAAAAGCTTTTTTGAAAATTTCTCCCAAAACACTTAACATAGGTATTTTGGCATTTTAATTTTCTGTTGTTTTTAACATTAATTAAACTAAATTGGGAAATTTATGAGTACAGGTGTATAAATTATTACTTTATAGCTAAAAGCGTTTGCACAAAATCTGTATTTTCATAATTCATGATGTAAAAATGAATGATATGGTACAAAGTCTGAAATCCAGTTATCTGAGAACTGGAATGATCTATTATCTTCCTCACTTTTTTCTCGTAATTGAAAGTTTTTCTTTTCTCATCTATGTATGAATGAAGAATATGACACTTAAGAAAAGCATGTGTGCTGTAAATCAGTTTTTGACCAAATTAGTTGAGATTTCTTTTACTCAGAAGCATCATTATTAGTGATAATTTGAATCATCGTGCATTTTTTCTGCATTTAAACACACTCAGACTAGCAAATTACATTATTTTTGTCTCTCCAATCATTATTCATAAGAGTGCAAAACTTTTCAGCTTATCTGGCTTTGTGCACAGTAAGTGAAGCCTGGAGTCTAGTGCTTGTTTGTAGTGGGATGTTGCAGGAACTGGTTTCATTTTGTTTACAGAGCAGTAAAATGAGAGAAATAATTTAATTATGATTAAATTCTTAGACTCAGCACAGTGAATTATGTTCTTTTGGCATAATCCAACTTATTTTGTTCTCTATTGTGATAACTATAATCTTACGAGAATCAAAATTTTAGTGAAAGATGTCTGTTTCACTCCTGCTGCAAAACTCTACATCATTTACGTAATTGACAGAAATGATAAATGGATATGACAATGCCCCAATTATTAACAAAAGGCAAAATCTATACAAGTAAGCAGAAATTTCAACTTTTGATCACATTTAAATTTCATGATGTGGTTACTGAAACATAATCTCTCTTTGTGCGAAATACATCTTTCCAGATAGAATAGGATAGTAGTTTATTTTATTTCATTTCTTAGAAAATCCTGAAAAAATACATTTCATTTTTAAAAAAATTTTCATTAGCAGAAAAGTGTGGAGGAATGAAACCAGACCAAACTGGTGCCACCTGACACTGAGGAAATGGGAAAAAAAAGTGATGTGGCTTTAGTGGAAAAGAATAATCAAATTTTAGATAAACTGAAAATGTGAAGGAATGCTAAATGAAAATGAAAGTCTTCTTTGCAATGATAATGACCCAATCAACAATCAGTTAACAAATTGCAAACTTTGTATGTTGGAAATGAAACATTTTAATTGACTATTTGGTCATAATTTATGACGTAATGATTACAGGATTTCAGCAATGGAATTTTGTGACTGAACAAGAAATTTTCTCTTTATTAATTAAACACGAAGTATAAGCGCAAAAACAAAATTCCTTAAACAACTTGTATTGAGAGAAATGTTTACCTTGAGCTTTTTTTGTAAAATTTGGTTCCATTAAATCAAAAATGCTTCATTACATCCAAAATAGCTGAAGTCCTGACAGTTTTGTGTCTCATATCGTACTGTATAGAATTTTGAAATTAATTTCTCATGACCAAAGCAAAGAGATTAAATAACTGCACTTATGTAAATATATAAACTCAAGCAAATATTAAATGAAAGATTTTTTTCTCAAGATAAACTGTGTGTTTTGAGAAAAAAATGCAATTTGCAATGGTTCTTTATTTTGTTTATTCAAATCTGGAAAAAACATTTCCTGGAGGAAGTTCTCCCACTTCTTAAGATACCTGTTAGCTTTTGGAATTCAGTGAAAGAGGCTCTAATTCTGAAGTCCTTTATATGGAAACATACCAGAAACTGTCAAACCTCAACTTTCCTATGTGAGGAACCGTAACCACCTCAGTCAATCGAAAGCATAAGCTTGTAGGGGCTAAATTTTAAATCGTGCAAATTTTTCTTTTGACAGGATTTTTCTGAAATTGTTTAAAGTCTAAAAATAACTGCATGAGTATTACAATTAACACTGTAACAAACTCTTTTATTACTCAACAAAAATGTGTCTTCATTAATTAAACTGGTTGTCCCTAAGGTTTTATTTTGTGAAACAAATATTCATGCATACTAATAGAAAAGTTGTAAACTTTTGATGAACTATAAATATGAAAATTTATGCAAATTTTGAAATTTTGTCAAATTTGTATATGCATATTATTATTAGTTACTGTTTTGAAAAATCCTGTTACCTTTTTCTTCCTGCAGTCCCATAACTTTATCAACTGCCGCATAATCATATCATTATTTGGTCAACAAAAGATCCATATGAGAAGCATTAGAATGTTGTTTTTTGCTGAAGGCTTCAGTGCTCAAGTGGTAAAACTAGTGAATGAGTTAGTTGCATGAAAGTTTTTATGGTTTTTCTCATGTGTATGTAATGCAAATGTGGGCCAGTGTACCATTGATGTCATCTGCAAAATCATCACGCTTCATAGGATGATAATCCCTGCATGATTTGTCGTTGTCAAAATGAAGCAAAACCAATGTTTCTGCATTGCTAGTTTTCATTTTGTCCGTTTCACCATCATCCTCAGCATTACTCTCATGGCTGCAGTTTTTATTGTTCTCCAGATTTATACGTCAAATCTGTTTTTTGTCATTCAAAATTTGTTTACCATTTTCTGCATTTATCCATGTTTAAATAACATCTTGAGTGACAGCATTATATAATTTTATCCTTTAATACATATATATTAATTCATTATCAGTCAGCATTGTTCTCCTCTTTAACACATGTTAATAAAACTTTTACCATAATGCAGAGTAGGAGGTTAATTTGACCTGTCAGTGTTCAGAAAGGTCAAAAAGATAGATCAATAAGAACATTCTCAATATACATCTCTTTTTTTTTCCTCTTAGTTTGCTGCACTGTTTCTAATATTATTACATTTCCTGGGTGGTGCCTTTGAATTGGTTGTCAACTTTATTAACAGACAGCTTAGTTGATGGAGGACTGATTAATAAAGGTTCTGTTGTATGATCAAGTTAGCTTGAGTTTGAGGTGTTCTGCATAGGAAGCCAAAGGTAAGACATATTCTCAGAAACAAAGGGGGAGAAATTGTGAATTAGCCTCCTATGAAATTGCTGTCCAGACTTGTTCTTTAAATGCTTATAACTTCAAATCTGAGATCTGGAATTTCTGTGTAACTATTAGAGTATTTGGTCACTGCTGGCGATGAATTTCTCTTGATAGAAAATAATGCACATATAATCAAGCAATAGTTGTCTGTGTGCTGTAGAAAAGTTAATTTAGAAGAATGGAGTGGCTGTCATTTCATGGCTCTGTTGAACATTTCAGAGCATTTAATACTACTTGACAACTAACAGGATTTTAAAATTCTTCCAGAGCTAACAAATGTGTTTAATACTCTTTAAGTCCCATGGTCAGTTTTATTTTTATGACATTTGATGTTTCACTGTCATCCTCAGCATGATAACATATGAAAAACAAATATTACCTTTCCAATAAAAATAATTTCCTTTCTTATTTTGCTTTATTATCTAGATATCATACTAGACTAGAAAATTAGTAGATTATGAAAACTAAGAGTAAAATAAGTATACAAATTTAACTGGGAAATGCTCATTAAATGCAGTTCTTTGTGAGCAAATCTAAAAAAATATAAGCTTGTTACTCAGAGGGTTAGGAAGCAGTGAAAATTCTTCTCAGAATATCAGAAGTCACAGCTTTTGGTAAATGTTTTAATTAAGATTGTATATTTTTTGTATGTGTAGTCAACATCTTTTTCTTATGTTTAAAAATTAGCTTAATTGTGTAATATTGTATATCATTTTGCATTATAACATTAAGAATATGTGCAAATTTTGTTTATAGCTGAAAAGTAATGAGAGTTATGCCTGTTTAATTTTTCATTCCTTAAACTGATAAGCTGTGCAAAAATATTAGTGTTATTTCTGGTATTTATGACAGCTTTGGGAATGCAGCTGTTGTACTGAACATATTTGAAGTAATTTCTGTATACATATTATGATTAATGTATATAGTTATCTTTAAGTTTTCAAACTAAATAGTTTCATTTGAGGAAGTACAGTAGAACTGCAACTATCCAGACAAACTAGAGCTGCAATTCATTTGATAATCTGTTCCTCCTATTATTTTTAAATACCTAATGCAAATGATAATTCCACATACTGCATGTTATGCTAAAGGAAAGTCTAAACTGCATATAATAAGGCAAAAATTCCTTAAGTGAAGGTGCATTTGACATAATGGCATCACATTTGTTAAATTTACTTTCAAAAATGAGCTCCCCGTATGAGTAAGCACTGGTTCACAAAGTAAACAAGTGAAACTTTGCAGTATGGTCAGCAAATGGGCCACAGATATCTAAGGGATGATCTGTGAGTTAATAGCTGGCTTCAGAAGTGATTTTAAAACTAAAATTTGATTTATGTAATTAGTGTCAAAATATAAAAAAATATAGTGCAATTTAAGGATTAGATAATTTTCATTTATGTTTACAGACTATGCATTTCTCAAAAGTTTCAGGCAGTCTACATGTGACATGATTTATCTAAATTAACCAGCTTCTAAAAAGAATTGAAAAACATTGTTTAGTTAAATAATATTTTTTTACATGGCCTAGGGAAAAAAGTGAAGCTATGTAGATAATTGAAAATCTGCTGTGTAATTTATTTAAATAATTAAAAGAAAGACTTCTAACTAAGAACAGAAGTAGTGACTTGAAATCTTACTCTCTAAACTACTACTTTTCTAGTTCATGATCATGATTTTGTTTTCATTCATTGTCTCTGTTAGTAATAATAGTTATAAATATGTAAAAAAAAATATTTTTCCTTATACAGAATATAGGGAAATTATAATGTTTTAAAAAATTATAAAAAGAATAAATAAAAAAAAAATGATTAACCTAATCAAATATGTCACTGTCTGATCTGTTCAGATAAATGTCATCTAGTTTGAACAAAATTGAGTAAAATTAAAAAGGTAAGAAAGATATCCTGAATTGTGAAGCAAAATAAATAGCTATAGTGCTTGTGGTTTGAAGTTGCTTGTAATAAAGCTTTCATGATTTTAAATATAAATTTTAGGTTTACTGAGACAAGCAGATTCAGATTATGGCTTGTGAACTTTCAAATAATTTTATGAATTTAAAATGCATCATTTGTATCTCATTTTATATGCTTTAAATTTACATCTGATATTATAATTTATATACTTGTCTGTTGTTTTCATCATCGGTTAGCTTCTCAACTTTGTTCATAAAAGGTGGCTTTATTTTCTTTTATCATATGTATATATTTTCTTTTACAGAGTTCCTTTAAATAATATTGAAAATTTTATGAGAATGATTGTAAAAATGTAAAATTTAACATTTTTATTGGGTCTTCATACAGCAGAACATCCTATTAGAAAAATTATGCTGTAATAAATTAAATATATGATGAAACAACATGTTTTAAACCTACTTATTAAATATCAGCAGTCCTAGTTTTCAGTTTGGATATTTTTAATTGTAGGAAATAATTTAAAATCATATTAGTTAATAGGTATTTTTAAAAATTAATTGAATTATTTTCTACCTTCATTACATAGAAAAATGTAAACAGACAAATAAGCTAAGAAAATAATCCACTTTCTTTTTTCATGCATTAAGAAAATCAACCACTTTCATTGCTTGTGCATTCTAAACTCTTAAGCATGTATTTTACAGTCCATGCAGAAAAATCTATTTTAATGGATATTCATATATACTCATCTTGTTTTATGACAGTTTAGTGTAAGCTTTAATAGTTTATGAATTCACACCAAGTGCAGCTTGTAATGTAGATATAAGCTAGTTTATTTTTAGAAAGTTCTCCATGAAGGCCTCCCTCTCCTTAGGCAGATATCCCCTATGTGCCTTGCCATGGGTGGTCATTTGCCTGGGCAGTTGAGCTTTGTTTAATTGATGTTTTAACCAAAGTTTCACTGTCGAGTTAGGAAGAATCGTAAAATCAATCTTGGCATTGATTTGCTCTTTTTATATGCTTGATACTGTATATACATACCAACAGCATTTGATGGTTATATGAAAAAAGTTATTGTGAAGTTTCTTGCATAATTGATATGATTGAAATCCTGAAATTTGCATCACTTGTACACATTTTTAATGATCCATAATAAGAAGTGACAACTGGAACTGTATAAGTACTATGAGTAAAAGTAAACACTAGAAAGAAAAGGAAGATCTTTTCCAAACTAGGGAATATAATCCCCAGTGTTGTGTCCATGGGATATAAAAATAATCAGACAAAGCTACGTGTGTTCTGGTAGTGACTGTATCAAAATCTAGCATTAGAGTAAAGGAAAGTACATGCTATTGAAAGTTATGGTATTTAATAACACAAAACTGTAAAGGAATGCATGATTTGGAAAAAAATGTACAGGAACTAGCAGTGGTGTAGTTAGTCCTGAAGTGTTAATTGCTTATATCTCGCTGAACATTATACTTTAAGAGGATGGAACATTTTGCAGTTTTTCTAATGGTCTTTTAGCTATGGACTGTGTAAAAAGCTAATGTTTGTATTTTCAAAAACTATCTGTTTTCTCTCCTGAGCTGAAACTTAAATAAAATAAAATCTCTGTGGAGAAAAACCTTGTTATAGAAAAAAAACATGCTTAGAATCACTGTTAAAAGAAACAAATTCTGTAGCCACCTTTCATGCATCCCATGTAATCTTCTGAACTCTCCCTTTTATCAAAGTCCTTCACACAAGATTATTATGAATATAATACATTTTTATATATACAAATTAAATTTCCTTTTTCTTAGCCCTACCCTTAATTTTGGCCACAAAAATTTACTAGAATTCAGCTTATTTTCTATTAATCCTTTCTTTGGGTATATGTACATAGAAAGAGAAGTGTACCTATAGGTATTATCAAATTGTTGTATAAATGGTTTGTTAATAATGACTTTTAATTTATTAATGTTATTTTTCATGTCCCCTTTGGGGTTGAATATCTTGTATTCTTCAGTACTTTCCAAGGGCAAAAGTGTGACTGGAAACAGTTTGTACTCATAAGATTTTATGTGCATTTTGTTCAGTTTTTACCTTAATGTTATTTATAACATAATCCCATGCAAAGTTATTTTAAGTTATTATACTCAGATTTTTAGTATTACAATAATACAGCTTGTACGCATTTAAATATTTTGTTTAATATGTAGCATTTTCTAGTAATTCATTGCTTTAGAACATGAAATGATATATATGAGCAAAATGTAATATGATTTTATACAAATTTATATGGATAACATGCAAGCATATTTTTTGTTCAATTTCCATATTGTATATATGGTTTAAATTTGTGTTATTTGTTTTCTTTGTGTCTTATTTAATTTTGTAAGTGTTGGGTTTGTATATTAGTATGATATTAAGGTATGTAAATGCTTGTAATTTTGGATTCTTAAATACCTCAATGAATATTACTTAAAACTTATCAAATATGTATCTTTCTGAATTAAATGATATAAAATGTATTCTTTTTCAGAATTTTGTAACTTAGAATTACTGGTTGACCGTTTTGCTTATTTATGAATAAAGTTGTTTAATGTAAAATATATCTTTGCTAAATTTTTATTTCAAATTCAGAACTTATCGAATTTTGCATAATCTGAAAAAGTTGTAACATACAATTCTTTTAAATAATTGCCTTAAATTGAGCAAGTCCAATTCATGGGCTACTTGTGGCTGCTATTATGTAACCAAAAGAGTGCTGAAAAGTTATGTCATGCATCTATGAATACAATAAAACAAAAATCATTAAATGACTTAAGTGGGCATAAGTGCTTTCTCATAATAAATGATGTGCTAATAAATGACAGTATTCAACATTAAACTCAGTCAGCCTACTATTAAGAACAGCAAACTTTACTTTGAAATTCATGTGAACAGCAGAGCATGTAGTATTAAATGCCATTTTAATTAGGAGATATTGAGAACTGATTTCAGGAAATTTCAATTGCTTGATATTTCTTTCTCATTTAATATCCAACATAACTGTGAATTTGCAAATGGAATACATAAATATTAGAATGATAAATTTAGTTCCTTTTAAATTAAATAGAAAACTTGCTGCTAAATAATTATTTGCGGTAGATACAGTGGTAACAATTCCAGTGAGTGCTAGTTCTACTTTTTAAAAATATCCATCATTTAACAGTCAATCTCTGTTTGTAAAATCAGAAAGCATGCAGCAATTTTTTTTTAATGTAGAAAATTACAAAAATAAAAATTTGAGACAGGTATCCATTGAGTAGTTTTTATGAGCATACTAGCATTTGCTCATAACTTTATTAGAATGACAGTTTGTCATTCATGTAAACTAGCCATTGATCAAGGGAATTTGAACAGCATTGTAATTGCTATTGATAAATAAATCTTTATAATCATGTTATGTAAAAAGCATGCATAGCATAACAATGTAACTGTTTTGCTTTTCTATGGGTGTTGTGGGTAGGGAATAAAAATGTTTAAACGCAATATTGTATCAGTTTATAAATTTTTAAAAAATTAAGGTTCCTGCTGTAGCTTAGTCATGTATAATATTGTGCAAAAGATTTTGACCAAAATTGGTCTTTTTAGTATTGTACTTACTACCTAGTTTATAAACATATGGTGTATATGATTTCATTTAATTTTTTAGATAATTGATTTAGATAAGCATAAAGTAAGCTAAGATGCTAGATCTTATCGTGTTAGTGCTTTGAAAGTAGATTATAATCAATAAACGTTCTTTTTACAATAATGTAAACAAATCACATCCAATTCTTTAGTGTTTAATATATTCAATAAATATTCTAGTTTAAATAAACTTCACATTTAACAGAATTTTAGAAGCCCTTTTACACGTGATTGCCTACAGTTCATTGAAAATCTCTCAGTTCCTTAATAATCATTCGCACAGTTGATTTTAACCTTTTTGGAAATATATTAGACAATTTATGTGTATATCTCTGAATGTATAGTTACTTTGTTGACTGTATATATCACTGTATTAATTGCCAATCTGTTTCTCAGTTCTTAAAATTTCACAACCTATTCTGTAATCCGTCATTCAGAATTTACATCATGAGTTATTATATTTGCACAAACTCCAACTGATGGTAGTTATTGCTTATCTGTGTGTACGTATGCTACTGAATCACATTGACAGTGTTTTTATGCAGGTTTAACGCACTGAATATAATTTCATTGGATATATTAAATGAATGTTATATAATTAAGAAATGACAATGGAAATCAATAATTTAGCTGCTTTTAGTGAGTACATTTGAATGTCTGACCCAAGTGATTAGTAACATTGTTTGATGCTTGTTGAATTCAGCATTATTTGTAGAAAATACTTAACATATAGCACAGACACTTCTGTTGAATTATAAATAATTTAGAGTTAGTTCTAAAGCGATAAAAAATACTGATTATAAAATATTGTATACAAACAACAGGAAATTCGCAATTTTACATTTTGTTTCATAAATTAAAATGTCAAAAGTGATAGATCTGTTATTTCTTTTTAATTTTTTTTGTTGTTGTTTTTGTTTGTTTCCCTTTGCTAGTCCATATAAAACACAAGAATTCTTTGTAAATAGTCATGCTCTTCATTCATTGTAAGTATATTTTACATTCATGCATATATATATATATATTTAATTAACCGATTCTTATATTATTTTCATTCAGATTCTAACTGTATTTGAAATAAAAATTATACATTTTTACTGAGAAAATTATACTCTTTTGTGTTATATAATTCTGTTATATTAAGTTGAATAAAATGGTAATGGAACAAAAGTTGTTTATAATTTTTGCTGTTATATTCTACAGGTGGTGTTTTGATATGCTTCACTTGACATCTTTCCTTTTTATAAAATTCAGACAAACAACCGATGAATGAAAAGTGGAATTTAAGATTTATATATAAAATTATAAGTCTGGCAAAAAAAAAAAAAAAAAAAAAAAAAAACACACCTACCCAAATTATGAAAGAATAGAAATAAATATATTTATTTATTTGCACTGCCCGAGCAGAATAGTGTTTTATTTATTGTAATCCAAGCAAAAATATTTATTATCATGGCATTCAAGTCATGTATAAGAACAGATAAAACTTTGTTTAAAAAAATGATACTTTCTAAATTCTTGCTTTCATTGCACATATACTTTTAAGCTGAAAATTCATAATACCTATTCTTGCTGTTTCTAAAACGACTTCTACATTTTCTTGCCGTATTGCATCGGAGTCTAGGGGAATTTCTCTTACATTTTAGAGACTTCTGTTTTGTAATCTTTCCAACAGAAATTGCAAAATGTGTACATTGACAAATAGATATCAGGATAAAAGGGGAGATAAATATTTCGAAGAATTCACTCATGACTTATTTCAGGAGCAAGACCTCGGAGCATTGTATTTCGCTCAGGATAGATATTCCTGTTGTGTAATGTTATGTTCTAGTGTTAGTTGTTTACTACATTCCTCCCTCAATTTTTTTTATGGGTGTGTGTATGTATCTTGAGGTATGCTTTGAGTTCTCGCCATAAATGTTGGCTGATTTGTAAGCACCAGGTATGCCTGCTATTCATCTATTTTAGTTTATAATAAAAAGTCAAGATTTAGCGATAAGTCGCTTAAAGTCTTATTGAGGTTGAGTCACAAGTTACAATAGAAAGATCACATTCCTCACAAAATATATTTAGTTAGTTAATGAGTGTTACCACTGCATTGTGTAGTAATTAGCCGAACTACAAGATGTTTTCCAATGGTGCATGACTTTTTATTTTTTAGAAATGAGATATAAAACTTTGTAAGACACGAATAAATATTTTTTGCCAACAATCATTAAATTTCTCAAAATATTCTTTTAACAGTCATTGGAAACATTCTTTTGTTTTATTGAGAAGCAAAGGATGCCTAGATTCAAGTCCCCGTTTTAATTTTGATAGTTTCATATGCTCCATAGCCAAAACATTACTGCAGATTAAGTAAAGAGGTTGTTCCAAATCGGAGAACTGACTCGTCATATTTTTTCCCCACATCTTAGATTCTCCTGGTTTCTAGATCCTTTTTGAAGATCGCTCGTTTGCTACCCATTTACTCAAATTCAACCATTTATCTATGGGTAAAAAATATTTTTATCCTAAAATAATAAAATCTCTCCATAATAACTATTCAAATACTACTCTTAACCTTAGTGGAGTAAAACAGTTAAATATACTGTTGCATTGTTCTTGCAATGCACACGCTTGTTACGATGAAACAGAAGTAACTATACTAGAATAAGCATTATTGCTACCCTAGTTGAAGTGGCGCTGACCTTATTCTCTGTATACATGTTGTGCAGAATGTTCTGTGCGTTATATTTTGATTCTGAAATAACTCATTTGCTGAAACTGGCATGTGACACCACCATTATGATGCACTTATTGGTTTACAAAACAACTTGACCAGTATTACGATTTATGACTGGGCTCTGCAGAAATTTATTAAAGATTACAAAGGGATTGAGACTGTTTCTTTAAGTACCTGAATTAAAGGTAATTCAGATGTCAGAGAAATATTTAAAGTAGCCAGACTCAACATAATTACTCTCTCCCCCAAAAAATAAAACTTGCTATTAACATGCAGTAAATACGCACACACAAAAAATACAAGAGACCTTTAGCATGTGTACAGTACACGTAAAACAACATTACTTAGCTTTAATTTTATTTTAGCACAATTTCAGCGATTGAACACTATTGCTTTCTTTACAGTATTTACTATTTATTGAAGAATGAATGTTATAATGATGTCCAGGGTTAATTTAAATCAGAAATTGGCACTGCAATTTTTCTTTTGTTGTTGAAAGCTCAAAATTTGAGCCAACTTTTATTATTCGCACGATTTCAAAAAAAAACTTGGCGCTTGACTTATTTATATCTGTCAAATCAATCTGTGGAAGAGGGGGATTTGGCATGTTACTTTAAAATATCCGACAATGAGTAAAAAAAGTATGTTAAAACATAAATATCCTTTCAAGATAAGAATCATGCATGCTAAATTTTGACGATCGGCAATTAGGGCGAAGATTTAGAACTGATCCCCTCCTTTTTTCAAAGTGTACCAACATTTTATTAGTTTGGTGCACTGCCTCTTCGTCACCATGATATACTCAAAATGCATATATACCCTCACTTCGAAAAGTTAAGCACGAAGATGTGAAATACAAAACAATCAATAAATACTGCTTTGATTGACACAAAATTCGGCAGGAAAGTAGCATATACTATATTTATGCATAAAATAAAATCAATTATATACAGAAATGAAAACAATATTAAATTTTTGTAAGTTGTCAGATAATGGCATACTGGAGACAAACAGATTTATGTATAAAGTGAAAATAAACAGCATAAAATGAAAAAAAGGACATGAATAGGGTATGTGATCCCCCCTCATCTGTATACAAAGTTTACACCTTGTGACCATGGTTTCAATTAGGTGGTCAACCACCGCAGAATTAAGCAATCGCCATTCTTGTAGAGCAGTTTCTAGCTCAATAAGAGTGGCTGGAGGTGAGAGACGGGAAGATGCAGCACGGCCGAGAGCATCCCAAAGATTTTCAATGGGTGGTTAAGGTCGGGTGAATGTGCTGGCCACGTCATACGCGCAATCCCTTCACTCTCCAGGTAATCATCGACGATGTTCAGCCCTATGGGAACGTGCGTTATTGTCAATTAAAACAAAAGTAAGGGCCAACTGCTGCAACGTACAATCTCACAATGGCTTCTAGGACTTCATCTCGATTCCGGACAGCTGTCAAAGAACCCCATTTAAAGATGTGCAGGTCGGTGCGGTATCATAATGGTTTGGTTTATTAGATTACGGCAAAGCATTCGAGGGCTACTGCCTTAAGGGAGGGATGCCTTCGTGGAGGACTTTTTAAGGGAAACTGGCTCGTATACACGTTACACATGGGAAAAACCACGAAAACTATGCAGCCAGCCCGTTTACGGGATTCGAACCGAACTACCAGTGTTCAGCGACGTTACGGCTCGGCCGCTGGTGGGCGCGGTATCCTAATGAAATCCCTGCCCACACCATAATGCTTCCGCCTCGGAATGCGTGATGTTCGGTGATGTTTTAGGACTGATTGCGTGTTCGTTGTTCACGCCATATTCTTATATGCTTGTCATCTGGCTCCAGAGCAAATTTTGACTCATCAGTAAACATGACATTGTCCCAGTCAGACACTTTCCAATTGACATGTGATTGGACGGATAGAGGAACACAAACTTGAGGTACCCGGGCGTACAGTCCACTCATATGTAATCTTCGGCGTACAGTAGCTGCAGATATCGCTTTACCAATGGACGCTGTAACCATAGATGTCACACGTGTGGTGGTCGCTCTGCGATTCCGCTTGGCTACAATAGCAATATATCGATCTTCCGTGGGGGTTGTAGCCCTGGAGCAACCAGCTACGGGCCTTCGGACAACTGTCTGTGTAGTTTGGAATTGTTTCCATAAACGTGAAATTACAGAATGATGAACGCCGAAGAAAAGAGCAACATCTGTGATCGACTGTCCTGCTTCAATGTGTACACAGCACGCCAGCGCTCAGAATCTTCCATTCGTCTTCTGGAAGTCATAGAAACCCGTATGTCTTGAAAACAAATTGTACGAAAGTTTTAAACACATTCTATCAGCACTTACAATCAACTTCTGTAACCCTTCATAAAGTTGGTTTCTTATAAGACTGCCTTTTTTGCATATTTCTTGACATGAAAGCACGATTGGCTGTTACCTAACATATTCGCATACTTCCATCTACCTCTGCAGCGAATTGCATCCTCTTCAACTCTGATTGGCTTCCGGAAATTAGCATTTTCCTCTCCGTGCTTAACTTTTAGAAGTGAGCATATATAAATTTTATTTGTGCTCTATTACTATAGTACTATAACAAAAACAAGCTACTAAAGTAATTTGGAAACAATTTATATTCAGATGCCAATAAAGTACAAATAGCTAAACAATGTATATTCAGATGACAATGAAGCACAAACAGCTAAACAATTTATATTCACGACAATGAAGCGCAAACACTTTATGTATTAAAAATGAAATGAAGAAAAGTACAAAAACACCAAGTTAGAAAAGAAGTGAATGCATGACATATATGTGAATACATGACATTTTAAATGGTGGTGAAATCCTGCACATTTAAAGCCTCCTCTTTTTATGGAGCATATCTTCTAAATTCACTTCGGAACTGTTCCACCCATGATACTTCTTCAATTATGGTATAACCACATCTTCTCCAATCAATGACGAGCCTTGGTAACTCAAGTACTTCTGGGTGTACCATCAGCGTCCTGTAAAAAAAAAAAAAAAAAAAATTAGATATATGATGGATAGCCTTGTACACAATGCATGTGAGCAGTGCTATCCAAACCTTTTTACCATTGTTCAAAAACAACTGGCCAGCTAAATCTACTCCCAGAATTTCAAAAGCCCTATAATCTCCCACCCGATCTTCAAGAAGAGGAGTCACTTCACAAGACATCGATTTCGCTTTATATCGTTTACATATCACACAAACTTTTAACACATTACACACAGTTTTACGTTGTTTCAGTATCCAGAATCTTTCTCTTAAAATAGATTGAAGCATTTGAGTTCCAGCATGACAATGTTCTGCATACCTAGGAGTGGTATCCTCTGAAAAGTTAAAATAACTGAGTTTTACCGTCATTTTTTCCAAGTCAGCTTCGTTCGGCTAACAGACAAAATATTGGTAGGCCAAAATTCACGGCTTTCTCTTAGCCAGAGAGTTCCCTTATACCACTCCACTTTTTACTCTGCTAAGCAAGTGCTTACCAGAGACCCCGAGATAACACATCTGCACAGTTCATGTTATCAGATACATGCCTCCATGATTCCAAGGACCATGGACAGGTTCTATTACGAGGCACTTAGGCTTATTGCTTTTATCCCACACATCATCAAAGAATTATTTTTATCGCCAAAAAGAGGGTTCCGCAAAGAGGTAAAATTTAGTACCAAATGTTAAATTTAACAAAAGAGTAACTGCCTTCCACAGTGAAAAAAAGTAAAAACACTGAAGGACTTAATTTAGTAATTTTTTTGTGTCGAAAAAGGGCCAGAATCAATTTTGAGGGGGTTGGATCAGGAATTTTGACAAGCATCGACGTTTCCTTGATCAATGATCATGTGGTGTTAACAACACGAGAGCGGAAACACTCACGAAAAATTTCATGTCACAAGTGCTTCGGGTCTGGGAGGGAAGGAGGAGCGGGAACTCGTTAGGCGAGTTTGATTTAAAGAGACACGGCCAGCAATGCCTCTGAGGAGAAACTTTTATAAATACAAAGTGATTACTTTAGCTTTAAGTATTATGTCAACTAATCAAAAATAGTATTAATTCTCACAGTGAGATTAAGTTAAAATTAAATAAAAATAATAATCAATGCACTAGAACTCTTTTAAGAACAAAAGCGTGCTTAAAGTCAGTTAACAACCGCTTACGGTTGAAAGAAATAAGATTGCCCGATTACGGGACAAAGAGAGAGTGACCCTGAGGCAAAGAAGATTCTTTGCCTGAGGGAAGCTGAAAGATCAGCGAATTCACTCAGGCGGTGGAGGGAAGCGAACAAGTGTATTGAAACCTTCGAGGCGCCTCGTCTCCATAGCAACGCCTTTTAGGAAAAGGAAGCGCATTATATGCGTTCTTTAGAATAGCTCTGGGTCTCTTTTTTGACGATGCAATTCCCGGATGAGAAACAGGGAGGCTGTGGAGTACGGCGTTTCGTAGGGAGAATTTTGGCTGCATTATGAATATCATCGTTCGTAACAAACGAAGGAGCTTTATAAATTTGCCGTAGCATAATATTCTGTACGAAGTCATTAAAAGGAATGACAGGACTACAAAAGAAATCAATCCGAAATGTTGAGCATATCGAAAATTTTCAAGCAAAATAATGATTTATATATGCCATATATTGTTACGTGAGTACAGTTTTGTAATGGATTTAATTGCACACAAAACCGATGATAATTTCATAATATTTATTCCCCCCCCAAAAAAAACATTTTGAAGTTCTGGAATATTTCACAAAAGTACTACTACAGCTCTTCTCAGCATGTCAGAACACAAACAGTAGTTACACTTCAAACTACTAAGAATGTTAAACACAACATAATTTACAAAGTCTCAGTGTATAAGCTCACAGAGTGATTTCTAAATACTCTGAATTAAAACTGAGAACCAATGCTTTGTTCAGTCTTATACAGTTTTTCCCCCAGCCACCGATAAATTTCCAAAAGGCATCCACAGTTACAGTTACTAGGGTCAGATATGGTTACAGTTATATAGTGATAGGACAAGTTATAGTTGCACAGGCGTCTGACAAAAATGTCGCCAAATGGTCACCAAGATTGACGACTTTTGGGGAATTATCGCCAAACTTGTTGACAAAAATTAGTCGGCAAAACCATCGCTAGGTGCGTGCTATCTCTCCATAGCCAGATAGCTATTTATCTCAATATTAAGTGGATTTGCCCCTCACTGTCTTGAGGGTTTTACGCTACATTATACAAGAGATACTAAAGTTTTACATACAATGTCACTAAATTTATTTACATATATCTAAAATTCGCAAAAATACGTTGTGAAATATGCGATTAATCGGTTCTTATTAATAACAAGTGGTAATGATTAATCATAATAAAAAGAAATGAATGTATTCTAATAAATAAATAATTTATTAGAATAAATTTGTTAATAATGATTTGCAACAATGAAAGGTAAATGTAATAATTTTCAACACGTTTAGTTCGAGATTTGTCATTATGCATGCGTCTGCTTTTAGTGGTTCACTATTGTGCAAACGTACGCAGCGGAATGTTACAATACAGATGAAATCACTTTTCGTGATAAAATCATAACAAGAAACAAAAGACAGGTTCACTTTAATATAATGCAGACAAAGGAAAAATCGAAAGCGTGGATGTAGACGAAAGAAAACTCGAAAAGCTATAATGAACATTACTGAATTAGACGCTTATTGCTACTTTTGAATTATATTTGGATTAACTGTTGGGATTATAAATACTCGTAGTAGTTGCTGACAGAACTTATGTACCCTAGTACGATTATTACAGGAAAAGCATATCACCAACTTTTTAAAACGCCTTAACGGGCGACTCAGAAGACGAGACGAGGCAGGTTGACCTTTCCTCAAACATTTCTTCGGTTCACGACAAAGCACGCCCATACACAGTCGCATGAACACAAGTGCTGTTCCAGTAGTGTGGATGGGAGATGTTCCCCCTCCCTACCCATAACGCGGACCTCGCACAGCTTTTGAGTGTAGCTTTTGTGAAACACCATACTAAGCAGTAATATAAAACGTTTTTAAATAAATAAATTCTACAAATAGAAAAATTTCTTTGGCATACCTCGGAAACTTTACAGGAATTCGTTCTTTACTCACAGCCTTAAAGATAGGTATCTTGTCAACTCGAACTTCCAAATAAAAGTATGGTTGGTTTGGTTGGATTACCTAAAATGTAAAAATAAATCTTAAGACATGATAAAAGGGAAATTGAAGCAAACAGTTGTATTCTTAATATAAATATTTCACATTCCTTCAGTATCTATACAATCTCATCAAACAGAAATGCCAGGATAGTAGAAGAAATCAATTCCAAATCTTGAACATACTGAAATGTTTCAAGCAAAATAATGATATGTGTGTGTTACGAACAAAGAGATCAAACCGTTTTTATTAATAACAACTGGTAATTTTATTAATAATAACTGAAATAATATTAATAAAGACACAATAAAATGGTTAAATAAATAATTTAATAGAATTTATCACATTAACTTGTTGTTATTAAAAATTTCCAACAATCAACGGTAAATGTAATAATTATCGACACGTTCAGTTTGAGATTTGCCATTACACGTGCGTTATGTTTTCCCGCATCAGTGGCCATATTATTGCGCAAAAGTATGATAACTGTTGCAAGTGCAAGAGTCTGGGTTTTGCCTGTTGGTAACAGGTAGACAAAATCAGTTGAATGCTTATTTTAAATAAAGGTGCCTGCATTTTTTGAGCCGCCAACAAACACTTCGAATTCGACAATTTCGACTGATCCACAAGCTCGCCATTAAGTTTATTGTGGTTTATCCAGACGGCTTAACGAAATTTATTCAATTAAGAAAACAAAACGAGCTGACGAAGTTGCTCATCTATTCATTCACATGCTGCATGTGTTCACAATATTTGGAGCATTGTGCCTCTTGCAAAGTCAGTGGCGTAGCAAGTATATCTGGCGCCTGGGGCAAAATACCTTTTTGGCGCCCCCCCCCCCCACAAAAACATTTCAGTAATATAATGTACAGAATATATTCGTTATAAGAAAATAATGCAAATAATAATAAAATGCTGAATCTGCCATAAAATACTCAAAAATATATTAAGAATAGTCACTACCTAACTGCACTACACTAGCCTTGGATTCGGAAATGCATCTGTGTCGGCGGAAAAATCAGACATACAATGATATTAGTTAAAAAGGCGTTATTTATTTTACATATAAGTGTTTTTAAAAAGCACAGTTTTAAACAATTAAAAGTTTAAGATACATTATAGATAAATAGATATGTGGCAACTTGCCTACTACAACTCAACTCTGCCAGTCTGGTAACCCATAGCAACCCAAAACAAAAATAATATTTATTCCATTCAACTGTTATAATTATTTAACGATCTGTCTCCAAAATTGTTCTACCATAATTGGTGACACGTATTTATTACGAATAGCAACCTTCAATGTTGCACGAATACGGAGTTTATATGTCTAAATTCTGAGCAGCGGTAAGTTATCCAGTGTGATGAGATGCAAGTAAGACATTTTACTTGTCATTTCAAGCGTTGTGCCGCATTCCGATTAATCAACATATTTCTGTCATAATTTCAGCGGATATATGTATCGTCTGCTGCATTTGAGCCTCCAATTTTTCTGATTTCAAGTACCAAGAAACTGTGTCACTATATACATATTGATTATTTTTCTATACATATTATTATTGTGCAGCCCACCAGCGGCTGAGCGGTAAAGTCGCTGAACACTGGTAGTTCGGTCCGAGGTTCAAATCCCGCGAACAGGCTGGCTGCATGGGCGTTTTCGTGGTTTTCCCCATGTGTAACGAGTATACGAGCCAGTTTCCCTTAGAAAGTCCTCCACGAAGGCATCCCTCCCTTTAGGCAGATAGCCCTCGAGGCTTTGCCATAATTACACATACACACATATTATTGTGCATATTTCATTGATCTAAAGTATTTGACAACGATGCTGCTTCGCAATTGCAGCGAGTGGCAGTTAAGCCACCGTGTAACGAAAATATTATCAAAAAATATCAGAACTACGCCGAGACTACCCGTCAACGGTTGTTCTGCACAGGTTCTTAATATATACGTATATAAACCTTAATAATAATTAGACACAGTGAGTCTACTATTAGAATATATGTTTACAATTTCAATATTTATAGAAAAAGAAATAAATCTTATCTACTTGAATTCTGCACATGCTTCCTGACGAATAAACTCTTTTATTAATACTCGACATCAGCATTTTCACAGTTTCACAGTAAAGCAGGAACTAGGATATTATTCAATAAACAGAACACAAATACAATATATAACTCAATTCAGGTCCATATCAACATTAAATTCATAGAACACTTCTATCACTAAGCAAACATGGATTAGAACGTGCATGGCAACGCCGAAAACTGATGCCATCCACAAAAAAAAAAAAAAAGGATACATAAAACTCGCGTCATTAAAACATTAAAAGTCTCGTGTTCATTCAACAAAGTTATTCATAAAACTGTCTCGTGGATATCTTCCGAAGTTTATTGACGGCATTACGTAACATCCTGCTGAATTGGAATGTCATTCTGTGATGTTGCTGGTAGGTCATTAGTAGTATGTTGATCTGGTATAATGGGATCCCCAGAAGAATTAACTTCTAGAGGGCAAATTTTTTGGACTGGATGAACGAGATGACCAAGTGGAGTTTTTATGTATTCTTTCCGGAAACGTCGCCTGAATTGTTCACGCAGTTCTTGGCAATAACGTTCTCTCTTTACCAGTTTGTTCCTATCCAAATGATCATGATCAGCCGTTCCAATCTCTTTTACATCTTGGAGAAAGTTGGATGGTGTTAGAGGCCTCAACTCATCTGCATCGTTGGAGATGTATGGAACGGGCGGTTGTTAACGGTGGCTTCTGCGTCGCAAAGAACTGTGAGCAGTTCCTCATACGTAACCGACGACTTACCAAGAACTCGAACAAGTAGATTTTTCACTATGCGATTTAGTCTCTCCCACCAACCGCCCCACCATGCTGCGGTTGGGGGAATGAATTTCCAGTTAATTGGATTTAGAGTTTCAAGAGCAGCTATCTTTTGCCACTCAATTTGTTTCAATGCACCAGAGACACAGATAAAGTTCGTGCCGTTGTCACTATAGATAAATGTCGGACGGCCTCGTCGAGCGATGAATCTTCTCAACGCGAGTGCACAGCAATCAGCACTTAAGGATGTCACAATCTCCAAATGTATTGCTCTGTAGACTGCACATGTAAGCAGCACCACCCAGGCTTTAGTTCTTTTCCTAAGAATAAGGGGACCACACAAGTCAATTCCGGTGACTTCGAAAGTTCGAACGTCCCGTACTCTGTCTAAAGGTAAATGAATAGGTATGGTTGAAGGTAACTTTGTTGTGAATCTCTTGCAGGTAATGCATTTCTTGATTATTGATTTAATTGTTTGTCTAGCTGAAATAATCCAATATTCTTCTCTAATCATTGACATGAGCATTTGAACACCGGCATGAGAATTCTTTTTATGGTATTCGAGCACTAGACTTTGCACAATATGATGCTTTGACGGAAGTAGAATTGGATATTTAAATCCAAATTCATCATCTCTTGCGAGAATCTTTGTTTTCACTCTTATCAGTCCTATTTCATCTCTGACGACTGAAAGACCATTTATTACATCTCCAGTCTGAGAAAAACTTTCACGTTGAACTAGTAGACTCAAAGTGTTTTTTGAATCTTTTAACTCGGCTGCAGACAAGAATTTTGCTCTATTTACAGATTTTGCCTGACAGCGTCTAATAAATCTTAGAACCCATGCTAAAATTCTTACAATTGCTGAAAATTTAGAATATTTTTCATACCACTTAGATGTATCAGTACTCACGCTAACGTTTAATACTACAGTTTTCTTTCTGATTTCGGAAGAAATTAATGCCTCATTGGGTTTAATTTCAAGGCGTGGCCAACTATCCTTCGGATTCTTTAACCAGTTAGGACCCTCCCACCATGAATTCTTTAGAATTTGATGAGGGGTACAACCACGAGATGGTATATCAGCTGGATTTAACTGGCTTGGCACGTAAGAACCACTGATTTTCCTCTGAAAGTGCACAAATCTCTTTGACACGATTTCCTACAAAAGTTCCCCATTGATCATTGCGCTTGATCCATGACAGAGCTGTGGTGGAATCAGACCAGTAATGTTTTTCAATTTCGTCTAAGGATAATGCCTCTACAACATACTTCGCTAGACGTACTCCTAAAACACAAGCTAAAAGTTCAAGACGTGGTATTGTCATCTTTTTTAAAGGTGCCAACACGAGATTTTGCGATCAGAAAATTTACACATGTGTCACCATTGTTTTCGCAGCGTAAGAAAATCACGGTCGCGTAAGCTTTCTGGCTCGAGTCACAAAAAACATGCAAAGTCCAAGTTTGTTTGTTTCCATATCCTGTTCTGCGGGATATTTTCAAATCTGATAAGATCTGTAATTCACAGTACCATTTCAAAAATTTTTGTTTGACCTCTTCTGACAGTGGAGAATCCCAATCTGCTTTAATAGACCAAACTTCTTGAATCAATAACTTAGCCGGTAATAATACAGGAGCTAAGAACCCTAGCGGATCGAAAATCCCCTGTGTTAATGACAAAATCTCTCTTTTGACAGGTTGTCTAGATTTCGCACAGGCTTAATATGAACATAGAAAGGCTATCATCCGTTCTATCCCATAGAATACCCAAGACTGAAATCTGATTCTTAGAAAGAGGATTCCGAATTATCATTCCTCGAAATTTTATTAACGTCGTTTATAGGACCGAATGTCCACATCCGTAGGTCCATCTTAGCTTCTGCCAAAATGTCAATTGATTTATCCATAAAATCCTTCAACTCTTCCACTGTGTCAAGAGACGTGACACAATTATCGACATAAAAAGAATTTCGAAGCTTTTCTGCTACGTGATTTTGTTCGCTCCGCAGACACTCGAGACAAATGGAAAGAAAATGACAGCACCTAAAAGATACGGGCTGGATCTAACACCAAAAACTACCCTTGTGTGACGATACACCTTTATGAGACCATCCTTTTTCCACCAAAGGAATCTTAAAAAATCTCTATCCTCTTTTCTAAGCTCAATTTGTAAGAATGCGCGTCTTATATCA